ATTTCAAGCTTTTTTTTCATAATAGCTTGCAATAAAAATTTTACAATAAAATATGTAATGATTTGAATAATATTTAAATAATAAAGTAACTAATTTTGCATACATTTTCCAAATGGCTGTAAAATTATAAGGACTAGTATTATTTAAGATAAAGAAGAAAATTAATAAAAAAGAAATTAATTTCGAATTTAAGGTTTTCTCTCCTAAAATAGCAGTTTATGTATCAAACTAAATAATTGTGCGGAGTGTACTTTTTTTACCTTCATTATAGCCCCTCTGAAAATGTCACTTACCTAGTTTCTCTACTATATATACATATATATTGACTGAAGTAGTAAATGAGAATAAAATGAAATACTAAAATGGAATTAAGAACAATTTGAAAAGTTTGTTGCAAATATTTTTTTAGTTTTAAATTGGATTAAAGTTATTTTACTTTTTGTTTTAATTTGGTTGTAAATAAACGAATCCATTTGCCCTACTGTATCTATTTAAATCATTTTTAATTTTAGATCAATTTTTTATTCAAATTTTGAACTAACTATTGTATTGTCAAAATGCTAACGAAAAGCAGATGGCAGTTTCAATACGGATTAGTTTCAATATGGATTTAACGACGCCAATATGCATTCTACGCTATCAGTTATCGCTTATAATATTTATCAGTAAATGGGATTTTGTTGTACATTTATTTACTAGAGTATCTTGATAATCGCCTTTCCTCTCATTTTCGTTCAAAAAGATAAGTAATTTTTCATCGTGTACGAGTTTAATCTAGAATGGACGTGCTACTTAATTATAGATGATTTTTTCAGTTTTCTGCGAACTTACGATGATAAGAAATAAATAAAATATATTGCATTCTTAATAAAAACTTATTAAAGAAGAGTATGTGCACTAAATAGTACAAGTGTTGAAATATTTAGTGTTAAAAGGAAAAACTATCTATGAAAAAGTGGTGTTATTTATGGAAAAAAGAAATGCTTTTACAACTTGCAACATTTTTGTGTTGTTTTTCGCTTTCATAAATAATGACTAACTGCACAAATAATTAAATAAAGTAAAACTTTGCTATTTTCTTTTGACCATGTTGTCTTCGGTAGCATTACTGTTTAAGCTTGGTTCTCCCTCACAAACTCGTAGTTTTGCTGGTCATTTTTGAATATTCTCATTTAGTCGACCAGTCATTGTGGAGCTTTGGTCTTTTCTCATAAAGTTACTCCTTCACGGTTCCATATTGGCCTAGTTTGTGAAATATTAACATCTAATATACAATTGAAAATGCCTGCATCTTATCCTATAACAATGGACTAAATATGTACTGTGCATGTGTATTAACAGTTCTAAACAGTCAAAAGCTAATACCCTCAGCATTTAAACTCGTAAACGTAACTTTGAAGAAATTTCTAAAGTAAAAACTTAGTAAAACATTTCGAATAAAAAAATTTTGAAAATCGATCTTCGAAGTTTCCTACATTTATATTAAATGCAACCCAACACCCCATAGGTAATTTGGTAATTTATGTAACTGCTCATGGTAATTTGTGTAACTGTAAAAGCCAAAATCTAACCACAACACTTTGGATGCAAACACCGACATCTTATTTTATTACTCTCATAGATGTAATTAAATCAGTGGTCGGAAGTAGAGCACTACAAGTAGTGAACCTGCTGTCGCTACTTTTTTTCGCAAACTGTGTGCTACTTTTTTTTGTAAAAAAAAAGTAGTAAGTGAGTAGTTCGATTCAAAAAAAAACTGTACTCTGTAGCGATTTCCGGTAACTACTTTTAACGATACTTTAGCATCCAAATAGAGTCTCGGTGCTGCCATCTAGTGTGGCAGAAACTGGACGTCCAAATAAACATGACCAACGGTATCTCACCCATTGTGGTGGTCCTGAAAGAGTGGATTCCACCTCTGGAGAACGCTCTAGGTCTGCTTATCGGCAAGACCGATTGTGCAGCTCATTGGAAATAAAAAAAATTTAAAAAAGCTTTTAAAGATAGTTTCGAAAAGAAACATGGCTCTAACGCAACTAATTTTTCGAAATTAATGGGTTCAAATCTTCACGGGTCTGTCAATGGATGCAACGAAAATGAGGCTGCAGCTGAGCTTTAACAGAAATTACGTACTTAAAATCCCGTATAACTAATATTTCAACTAGCCATTACGAAAAATAGATAATTAATCGATATGATCACACTTTCACATGCACGCTCGTGAAACATTGATGTCATTCCAGAGGAAAGGAATGAATTTTCAATAAACTTAATTTCTTAGAGGAAATAAAAGCATAAAACAGTTTAAATAATGCAAGTGTATAATTTCTTATTTCTTAAATTAAATGTGTGCTGTCGAAAATCGCGCAAAAAGTTGAAGGTTGAATGAGAAAATTTGAAAAATATGATTTAGAATAGCAAACTGGCTCATGAAAGCATGAATAAATATTTAAAACCATTTTAAGGATAGGTGTAAATTCAGTTCTCCAGCAAAATTCGTCTCCTTAAAGTAGTGACTACTATTCCAAAGTAGCTTGTAGTCACTACATTTTTTAAAAAAATAGCTGTAGTTAACTACATTTGTAACGAAGTAATTGTAGGTGTAGTACACTACAAAAATAATGTAGTTTTTCCAACCACTGAATTAAATATATTTATTCTATTTAATATCTTTAAATTTTTATTATCTAACAGGCTTAATTATTGCATTTTCTTCATCATATCAAACAATTTTATATGCCGCATCTCAAATGAGACTTTAAAAAAATCTTTTTTAGGGTTTTATATATAGATTTTAATATTTCCTATTCCAATAAAATATATGAATAAAGAAGTTATAATTTAATAGCTACAAAATAACTTTTTTTTAATAGTAATGCTTATTTCTAAGGTAATGATAAAATGACGTACTTCAATCTCTAAACGAATTAAATAATGCCGATTTTAAAAATGTTATGTTGTTTCCACCTGTTGTTAAAATTTAGAAAAATATGGTTGTTAAATATTTCGCATCAAGTTAACCTAGGAGATTTTGGTAAAAGCAACAATTAATGTAATTGCCCAAAACAAATTAATATAGTCTGTGATTGGAGGTGGATAAAAACAATTATTTCTAAAAGAAAATTATTGAGCTAAATTTTTTAGTATTTTTCAATATGTATTAAATCTATTCTATAATAAAATTCATTCAAAATATTACTACACCAGTGATGAAACTCATTGTTTGGAGTATTCAATCGCTTTATATTAAACAAGAGCAACCCTAAGGTCGAAATAAAAAAAAGAAGAAACGAAGTTAATGAATAATTTGGTTTTGCATTACGTTATTTTATGTATCTATTTTTTTCCGCGCCTTAAAATTAAACTACTTTTTCATTATAAAATAGTTTTATTTCTTTTCATTTACTTATTGTTTTTTTTTCAAGAACAGTGGTAATTAATAAATTTACTATAATTTCATTCAATTAAAAAATAAAATTAATAATTGACAGAATTAAAAACCTTTCCTTTTCTAGCAAATAGTATTCTTAAAATGAAATTTTGGCAACAAAATGAGCCAACTGACTCATGAGAACAATTTTTATTGCTTCTAAATTATACCTTTATAATTAAATTATCTGAATTTTATAATGAATAAAATTTTGTATAATTAAATATTTGAAATTTGGATTATGCAACTATTACAAACTAAATTCAAATTTCTTTTAAGAGTTAATTTCCTTCGTATTCCAATCAGACTTACTTTAGATACCAAAATCTCCGAAAATGGCTGCATACAGTTTGTTGTTCAAAAATTGCTGAAGGCATCGACATGTAAAGTTGAAGTCGAAACCGACGTAAATTATATAATTTGATCGCAATGCTAAAATAAATATTACAGAAAAATTCATTCAAAAATCCCTTAAGGAGGTGAAATTATTCTAAATGTTGATTCATAAGTTTTATACCTTCTGTGTTAGGCTCACAAGTAAAAAGGCTAAGTGTTGAACATTGATATATGCGATAACAATTTGTATCAACTGTTCCAGGCCGTTCCAAAAAGATATTTAAAGTATGCCTTTATTACTCAAAAGTAATTATAAAACAGATTTCCTTTCAACAAAAATAGTTATTCGTGTTATATGTTAATAGTCAACCAAAATATTTATCAAAGCTAAATCTACCAACATTGAAGTTATATCTAGCTAATAAGACTATTCACCATTTATAAAGCCAATAACAATAAAAAAAATGGAAGGGGGATATTGTCATTGATTGCCGAGCCACCAGTTACATGTATGTAATGTATGAAATAATTATCTGTCCACCACACCACGATCCACAGCTTCTTGAGACCTTTTCCAACTCTGAATCTACAAGTGCATTCTCACTGCATATGATTCGCATATGCGACCAAATGCTGACGCGATTCACGTGTGGGTGAGCAGTTCTCATTGCCAGTAATTTTTAGCATGCGAATGAGAACCAGAGTGATGAAAAGTATTTACATGCGAAACACTCGTTCATCAGATACTTATTCACATGCAATTTAGCATCCAGTGAGTAACATGCAAAGTGAAACAAACTCCTCGCGTATGCGCGAATCACATTGAAGTGCGATTTCATATGCCAATAATATGAAGTAAGAATGCTCTCTTTGGGAACAATTCAGACTGCTTGTGTTTTTGATTCTTTTCTTTTCTTTTTCATATTATCGCGCAAATTACTGCATGTAATTTTTTTTTTCATATCTCACCACAGGCTATTTTTTCGCATTTGAAAAACTCACCTGCAGTGAGAATAGCAATGTGGTACAGAGTTATTCTCACTGTATGCCCTTATTCACACACCTCTGATCGTCATCGGGGGAAACTGAGGGTTTGATTAGTGAAAAATATTTTTCTCAATTTATTTACTAATTAGGTTCTCATTCCTATGTAAATTTTTTCACGTTGTAAGAATTACTTCGGAAGTGAACAGCTACAGGGATTTCTCAGTTATTGACCCCAAATCTCACGCGGAAAACACATGTTCTCTCAGCTACCGTAAAGTTACAAATAAAATTTAATTAGAAGAAGCATATAACAACTCAACAGTTTTAAAATTTCTTTGTCCTCTGTTACCATAGTTACTGGATTAATAAACAATACTCAAAACTTGATTTAATTATAACTAGTAAGATGCTTAATATTTTCTCTAATATATATTTTTAGCTCTGAAGCATTTCCAGTTTAAACAGTAAAACTTTTTGTTAAGTTTTCAAATTTTATGCAGTTGTTTGAATATACATTGACTCTATGATATATTTATTGCATTTTAATAATAAATAAACCTATTCTTTTCTTTAAAATAAAATATCCCCACCCCAATGTTTCGTAGTAAATATTTTAAACCTTTCTCAAAAAATTTCCTTTTATAGTCTAAGAATTATATAGTCTGAGATTTGACATATTTAAAATTAAAGATTAGCGCCATGCTCTTTAAAATTACAACTATCTGTTTTTTAAACAATTATTTGTGACCAGGTTTGCTACATTTGAAATATTTCACTTAATTATAATAATGATTTGAATGTGGATTTTTCCACTGCGTAACTAGTCAGGAGTACAAATTATGGGCTGTTTTTCTCAAATTTCATTTTTGAATCGGTGTATTCAATCTTGAATAGTTTAATTTAATAGGTTTTGAGTTCGTTTTTTTTACTTATTTCTTTTCTACATTGACTTCATTTATTATTATGAATCTTAAGTTCAAATTATCTTTTTAAATTCAAATACTAGCCTCTTCGTTTCTGATAAATTAAACAAATAAATTAAGCATTCTCTTCTTACAGTAAAACAAAGGAAATTATTTCATAATCTTATTTTAGAAGACACTTGGATACTTTCACTCTTTAAAATATTTTGCTCTAGTTATGTACTGAACCTTGATCAGTTTAATTTTGTACTTAATTTGACATTTCCCTGTTCCCTTCTCCTTTTAGTATTAGTATTGTGGTGTAACTACCACTATAAATATTAAATACCAAATCACTAGTATACAATGCATGTTAACTTGATTCCATCAAGAGGTACCATTTGATAGATGAAGGTTGCCATAGTTGATAATTAATTCCCCTTAATGGTGACCTGTGGACGTGATATGAACTTGAATAAATTGATGGATGGTCCACATTAAACAGTTGGTTTACTTAAAAATATACTGCTCAAAAAAAAAATCTGGTGAAGTAAATAGTCTTCCGGTCAATAAACAATATTGAAGGAAGAAATAAAAATAATGAGCAAAATGCTATAAACAAAAATGAAGGGAGAAAATGAGTGAAATGATATGAACAAAAAAATTATGAAAAAAATAATGAGCGAAATGCTGAAAAGAAATAATGATTGAATTCTATCACAGATAAAATTCTGGAAGGAGAGTAGTGTGGTGTAACTACCGCTATAAATATTAAGAAATCAAATCACTAGTATATAACACATGTTAACTTGATGAAGTACCTTTTAATAGATGAAGGTTGACATTGTTGATAAATATTTCCCCTCAGTATTGTCTGCTTTTATACACAGTAAAACCTCCAAACAACGGTGCTTTGCAGAACTCTGCTTATGTGACTTCTTTAAAGAGAAGGCTGTTGCACAGAGTTATCATGGGAAATGGTTGTTTAAAAAGTAAAAAACAGATTTAATTCTCTAAAATAATGATTAAAGAAATGGCGAATAGTAAGCTTAATCCACAAAATATGGTTCCACTAATGATCACTTTTTATTTTTAATGGCACTTACTTTTTTTTTTTTTAATCATGTAGTGAAGTTTTTTTTTTTTTTTTTGAGTCTCAGACCTTTTTTAGTATTTTGAATAATTTTGGTTTTATATTATAGTATGAAGAGTTTTTGCTTGTGATTGTCACTTGTACTTTAATTATTTATTTATTAAAATTCTTCTTTAGTTATAACTGATGTCAAGAACTTAAACGTAGAAAAAATTAAATTGGTCAACAATTATTAGTTACAATTATCTCACATGTGCAAGTAATTTCTCTGAATCACTTAAAAGGAAAGCTTACCAATAAAGTACCAGGAATTGCTGTCTATTGTGATATGATTCATGCCAACATGCCCATGAAAGATTCTGGTTATCTGTAGTAGGTGGAATTAAACTTTCTGTGACTTCTGTATAAATGCCTAAAACTCTTTTTTTTTTTTTTTTTTTTTTTTTACAATAACTAAAATATAAGTTAGGTTAGTATGTTTATTAAGGATAAATTAAAATTATTGCAAGCTATAAATGAATAAGTGGAAAAAATTTACTTAAATTCTTCTTAAAATGAAATTCATTCTAGCATTGTTGACCTTTGCTTAAAAACAGCTGTTAACCTTAATGTAAAACCTATTTAAGAAGTTCGGATCCATAAAAAACAGATCATTCTAAAGAGGTTTTTGTTGCTTAGGGATGGTCAATAAAGGAGGTTTTACTGTATTTTCTTTTTAAATCATTGCTCTAAATATACCATCAAACGCAAGCTTACTTTCTTATTTTTTTAAATTCTGTTTGTTCTATTAAAACATTTGACAAGTATGTTTAATTTTTATTTTGTCTTTTTCAGTAGGTACTACCCTCTTATTCAGTATTACCAGATATTGTATATTTCTCGTTAAAATGTTCACTCTAATTGAGTAATCAAATACGAACTTACTTGTTATGTAGTTTAATTATGTTTGTTTTATTCTATGCTTAATTTGAATTTTCACTTTAAAATCATTCTATTACTATGCAATAAAATCCAGATTTAGTTGTGAATCGCTTTAATTCTGTTCTATTCTATGTTTGATTTGAATAATTTATTTATGTATTTTTTTTGTAGTCATTACTTTTTTACTCAATAAAAGTACATAGTATTATCATCAGCGATGATGTATTTTTTTGATACTTATCCATTTTGCCAACACATATAAATTCAGCTATTTTTTTTTTTTTTTAATTTCCTTATTTTTATTTTTTCAAATAAATTTTGAAGAAAACAACAGTTGAATCTATATGTATTTATCGACTGTACAAGTGCAGACTTTTTTTCTTTAAAATCCAAGTTCTAACTATGCATTCAAAGTGACTCTTTCTTGCTGTGTATTTTGATTGTGTTCTTTTTTATCTATGACTAATGTTGATTTTTTATGTTCGTTAATCAACCATGCCAGAAACTGAAAAATTTTTGGAGTTAAGAATGTCCATGATTGTAAAAATCAAAATGGCATTGTATACTGCTCTAAAGTCAAGAAGGGGAATATGATCCCCTCAGTGCATTTTTGCTCTTTTTTTTCTGATTTCTATATTGCATTATTTATTTCACTCGCTAATTTAAAAAAAAATATCTATGTATTGCTAACATTATATTATTCATTATAATTACAGATGTAGTACACTTTTTATTATTCAACTTTTATGTAATCTTTATTTCCAAAATAATTTTGTTTCAAAACATTTTTCTTTAAAATCACTTTTTTTGTGTAAGCAATTTTTCCTAATATCTAGATTAGGGAGTGAAATCTTAGTACTTAATAAACCAGACCAGACTAAAATTTCTCTTGGTACTATTTTTACTAAAAAATTTTTAAATGTTAACAGGTGTCTGGCATAAAAAGCTCTTAAGTATCCAAAAGCATCAAAGAATGTAGACATTAAAAAATGGATAATAATATAGTAATAAAATAATAATAATACCCCCCCTGTCTCGTAAGGTCTCAATGGTATCAGTAAATATCTTAAAGTGGAACAAAAAAAGCATTACATAACATTTTTAAACATTTCATCGGGTCTTTGTTTTAAGTTATTTTTCTGACTGTAGGTAAGTATTTTCTGGTTAAAAATAATTGAGTTATCAGTGACTATGAGTTATAAAAAATTCAAGGGAAAAAAGATAGAGTTGAGCATTTTAACTTTATTTTTTAAAAAGACAGTTTCTTTGTAGAAAAACATGCTTACTGTTTTTATGTCTTCTCAAATTAAAGATTTTATTAATTAATCTTGTCAATTTATAGATTTTATTCAATGTAATTTTTTCTCTGTTACAGATCAGAATGCTCTTAGACTTCATATACATCTCCAAGAAAAGCGAGTTTTGTATCACATAACCATTTAAAAACCAATTATGAGACATATTTCACAGAATGTCTTATTCACTCCAAGCTTTGGCAGTCATATTTTTTCTTACATGGACAGAATCAAACATACTAAAACCACGATTTTTGAGTGCAGAACTACCAGGGTCGTGTGGAACGCAACCATGTGTTCATGGAGTTTGTATCGAAACACCTTCAGGTGGACACCAATGCTTTTGTCAAAATGGCTTCACAGGCTTAAACTGCCAGACCAATTACAATGATTGCAGAAGTGATCCCTGCTTAAATGATGGCTTTTGTGTAGATGGCATTGATGAATTTTCTTGCATTTGCAATCAAGGCTATACTGGTAAAATTTGCATCCATATTTAAAATTTTTATGTTTTTCGCCTGATTTATTTTGTATAAATTTTACATTTTTTAGCTTTACTAGGGCACTTCCACTTCCCAGCTTCCATAACTTCTTTCACAGACTTTTTTGGATTCTCATTTAAACTTCTTTTTTTCTCTTATTAGATGATTATATAATTTAGTCTTGCTTTTCCTGTACTTTACTGCTCATTTAATTTAAATGCACTCATTGTTTTTAATTTTTACAAGAACTACTTAAATCAATAAACTCTTTCATGAACATAATCTTTTAATCAAGAAACAGAGCGTTTTTAATCACATAATGTAGCATACATATCAGAAATCTATTCTTAATCAAAATGACCACTTTGAAAAAAAATGACAGCTGCTCTTGTTCCATCCATTCTAGGGGTTAGTTCGTGCAAAATTATCCATTGTTAACCAATAATATACAATTGCTTCCCATAGATGATTTTTGCTTGTTATTTCTGTGATGCATTTCTTGATATAGATCCAGCGTAATTTAATAGAATTTTGGTCCAAAGTTAGAGAAGGGCCAAACCATATTTGAGTCTTAACTGTATATTACATTATATGATGCAGTGAATAACACTTTGTTCTAAAATGCTTAGATAACCCAAATTGTAATTTTACCCATTTTTTATGGGATCACACCCCAGTTCAGTGCCTTTACCACTAAGCCATCACAGCTCACTGTACTTTCATTCTTCCTAAATCTGATTTTTTCTTAAGTTACAATTTTCTGTTATTTCTTGTAACTGAGATATTTTATTTTTGATTGTTTAGAAAATATGTTGTCTACATTGTTATATCAAGTGCAACATTTTTAATCATTTTACATTAAGCAATACAGCTGATTTATAAGGTAGAAATTATATCTGTACTATTTTTAATTGTTCAGAATGTGACAGTGTAATAACTTAAATTTCTTCATGTACTAAATTTTAACAAAATATCAATTTTAAAATCAATTTAGCATTGACATGTGTAACAAAGAGCAAAACATTACACTAAGTCAAATTTATAAATGATACTCTAATTTTTTACATATCAAGATGTTACCAACCTCACTTTTTCATATTATGTGTTTAAAATTTCCTCTGAATTTTAGAATAAGTTTAAAACGTGAAAAATTTGTTCTTAAAAAATTTTTCTTTCTCACAATTATTTGTTCCTATTTTTTGTTCTTAGACTTAGAATATTTTAATAAGAAACATTAAATCTTGAATGATAATCCATTCCCTACTTTTTATAAATTAAAAATGAAACTCGTATGTTATGCAGTTATAATGTCTTAAAGACAAGTTTTATCATTCTGACAGTTTCTGATTGTAATAGTTCAATTAAACTACTAAAATACTCAAATAATGTTTTTAATTTAATTTGTGTGTTAAAATGTTTTAAAAAATAGTGAGCTTTTGAAATCAAGTTTGGAAAATAATATTTTTATGAATTTTAAGTTCATAAGTTTACTTTAAAAATTAATTGTAGTTAGTAATTGAATTATGATCTTCTTGTCATTTTCAATCTATAATGTTTCTGAAAGCATAATCAGCCAATAATTTAAATCCTTTTATTTATCAAAAAGTGTTTTGATTCAACAATCTTAATCAGTTACGCTGCTGTCCTGAATTACAGATTCTTAAAAAATGTTTTTTTTATTATTATTTTTTAGGTTTAACTTGTGAAACAGACATTAATGAATGCCTGTCTGATCCATGCATGAATGATGGAATTTGTGAAGATTTAGTTAATGATTATGTCTGTCATTGTCCATTGGGATTTACAGGTAAGGATTTTTTCCCCTTTATTATAAACATGACATTCAGCATTATTGAATATTATGTTTTAAACAAAGTAACACTATACTCTATGCACTATATATGTATTTTATTTGGTCACTTGAAATCACAAAACTATATTTAATTTCTTAAAGGTTTCTATTAATTTTTTAAAAAAATTAGATCAGCAGTTTTCTAAAATTAGTTGTTTTTGAATGATTAAAAATAAATATTTAACATTGGATTTTAATTAATTTTTTTTACTGGCAATTTGTTTTAATAAAATTGCATACAAATGGAAAACAGTTAATTAATAATTTAAATTTATTTTAAAAATGAAGCTACGACATGTTTTTAAAAAGTATCACTATGATACAAATTACAGTTGCATAGCCATAAGCAACATTTCTTTTATTATCTGCTAAATAGATTTGACAAAAATAAAATGAAGAAAAATTAAACGTTTAATTTTGTAAGGAAAAAAAACTTAACTTATCTCAACTATTTATATTTTATTTTTAGTCTCTTGAAGCAATTAATCACTTTTCTAATTGTTTGAATTTAGAAAAAAATAAAAATTTAAGAACGATAATTATAAATTTATAAAGCTTCAAAAAGCATGTAATTTTTCCTGCTAATTTTTGTTAAATTTCTTTATTTTTAGAAATATTTGAATTTTAAAATATTTCCTGCCTCAAAATTAATAATTAAAGGCCTTAAAAGAGAAATGTATTAAAGATAATTGCTCATTATGTCCAAAAAATGAAATTTGTTATTAAAAAAACCTGCAAATATCTTGTGAAAATCAAACTTCTGTGAGAAGAATGACTGGTTACATAGTACTGCGTCACTGAAATTCTATTTCCATTTTTCAAATGTTTGAAATTATAGTTTTCATTACTTTTCAACTCTAGTTATTATTCAAATGAGACAAAATTAGTTTTTTCTTTCTCTCTCTTTCTTTCTTTTTCTATTTTTTTTTTATTATTATTACACATATTTTTAACTTTTATGAAATAAATTTCTTCTCATTTTTACATAACAAAAAGCATTCTATTTTTTTATATTCCTAACTGAATAAAATTGAAAATTGCTTAACTTTGGTACAAAATTTGAAACTTTGCTCTTTTTTTTTTCATTTTTTGTTTCAATAACATTTCAATTAAATTAACATATTGTTTTAGTAATTTGTCTAGGAGATCATAAAAAAAGTCAGTTAAACCATACAGTTTTTGTGACTTAAATGTGAATTTTCTTTGAATTCCCTTGTTTATTATGTTGCATTTTTTTATTCTGGCCTTTTCCTATGATCACTATTTTTCAAAAGTCAAATTCTTTAACTAGTATGATAACTATATTGGAAAGACAATTTTCTTTAACAGTGTAAGTTTCTTTCTACTTTGTTACTGAATCTTTATTCTGTATGGCTTTACAGAAAGTATTTTTAACTTTTTTAGGCATTATTTTGATTAATCTTTATCATTTTGTTTACCATTAAAACAAAAATTACTCTATTTTCTCCTATTATAATTTGCAAACAAATGGCGGAAATTATAAAATAAATTAATTACATCATATTATGATTTGTTAAAATAAACCAATGAATTTTGCAATTTAAATTTTAGGAATTAACTGTGAGAATTATTTCAATCTATGTGATACAGAAAAAGATCTTTGTAAAAATGGTGGCTCTTGTATTTTGGGACCAAGTAATTCCACTACCTGTAGGTAAGATAGATTATTTTCACATAAAAATGTTTGATAATTATTCTATTTTTGGTATTACGGTGCATTTTTTTTACAAATATTAATCAAATTTTATTTTTATTGTCTTAGTGTGTAAAAATATATTATTTAAAAAAGTTTTTTTATTTCAAATATTCTTCTAAAAATTAATTTTCAACATGCAGTTTAAGGTGAAACAAAATATTTATAAGGTGAAACAAAATATTTTTATTTCAAATCAGTTATTCCTATGTAACTAAATGAAAAAAAAATTATTTTTGAAGAATATTCTATCAAAGTTGTGAAATCATCCAAAAGGATAAAGAACAAACTACATTAACCTGTATAAAAAAAGTAACTGAATATGCGAAACTTGATTTAATTTTACTATAAATTTTTGTTAATATAATTTACAAATATTATGATTAATATAACTTATATATAAAGCATAAAAAAATTCCAACATCATTTGAAACTAACATTGTTATAAATATTTATGTGAACCTAATATGGATCCCCTGTGTCTTTTTGATTTATTCTTTTTTTAAAAAAAAAACTAGCTGCATAAAAGCATACTCTTATGCCAGCTGTTTAAATATAAAATAGTCTAAATCAAAAATGAACTTTACCATATCAGCTTCTTATTTAATTGGTTTAAACATTCCTTATAAAATAATTTTGTTGATTTGTTCAAGACTTATTATGCATTATGAAATGTTTATTAAAATTTAAAAAGGAAAAACATAAGTTATTACTACTTTTTTTAGACTTTATTGCTGTTTTTATTATTTGAATATGTGTTTTGTTTGTAAGCTGCCTACCCAATTTCTTTGGTGAAAATTGTGAACTTCCTGCCTGCCCTTGTGAAAGAGGTGGCATATGTATTGGAGAACAAGAATTTAGTTGCCTTTGTCCATTTGGTAATTATTCGAAAAGTTCCTGTCAAGCACATAAATTATTTTATCTGCACACTCCTTTTATTTTTTTATTCCACCTTTATTGTCAATCACTTTTCACTTAAAACTGAGTGACAGATTTTGTTCCTAAGCTTACTAGTTTTATAATTATACTCTCAAATCATATATTTAAATTTTTTTTGCATTTTCTGTTGGTTATTTATTCAACCTACTATGAGAATCGTCTTGATTAAACCATATTATTGAAAGGCATAAAAAAAAAATATTTATTGTTTATGTACTCTATTTTTATTTTATTTTCTATGTAGTGTATAGTTTTTTGTAACATACACTAAATTAGTTGAAATCAATTATTTATTTATTCTTGAATATTTATCACAAATTTAAGTGTATATATATCTTCATATAAATAAATTACTATGTGGAAATCTACATTACAATTATTTTCTAAGTTAGATTATTTTTTTTAAAAAAGAGACCTGCTGGTGAATTTTTAATAGTGTAACTATTTGTGTTATGTATAAGCCTTTCAAGCTTATTGACCTTTTAGCCATGATCCTCAAAGCATTAGTTCTGGCTTTTTCTTAAGCTGCTGACTTTCCTATTTTTAAAAAAACTTGATTTATTCCCCTAAAAACATCAATATCCTCCATGTTTTTCGATGGTGAAGTAGTGTGTAACAGGTAAATTTCAGTACAGTTTAGTTCAGGTGTTCAATGCTTAGAGGTTAATTTTTTCACACTAGTCCTGGACAGTGGTTGGTTTAAAAGTTTTGGCAAAAAGTCAGTATTTGTGAAATTCTGAAAAATCTATACATAATTTTGTGAATAAATAAATGAAAATAAGGTTTTGTGTTTTGAGAAAAGAAACACATAAAACATTCAAGGAGTTTTTATTTTAAAATTATGAATTAGAAGGGTTAATTAGAGTTAGTAGTAGGACTTTTACATTATTAGTAGGGGTTTTTTTTTAAGGAGCCATTCTTGCAATAAAAATTTTGCAGAAGGTCCGTTATAACTATTTTGTGAAGAGTTCTTTTTTATGATGAAAGATTTTGTGAATGGTTCATTAACAAACTCAAATTTCTCCTAAAATGGTGCTTCCAAATGACAACCCAAAAGTCCCAGATCCCCGTAATGTGTAAAATAGCAGCAAAGTAACAATTGCAGTGAATTTTTTAATTTTTCTCACTACTTAAAACTAACAGGTTATATGTGTTCGTATAAATTGCTTTTATATAATGGTGATTAAAATCATTGTTATTTAAATTTAGAAAACCAAAAGTAAAATAGTAAGGCATAAAATTTACTACTGCTTTAAATATTCAACAAAAAAAGGAAATCTACTACCAAAAGCTGGAAAGAGTGGAAAATATAGTACATAATTTCAACTAAGTGCAAAATTCATAAATTTTACTATTTAAATTCATTTAATTTTAAATACATTTTCCATGTTTAATGGCATTTATTCTTTTTTTTTTAACCCTCTTACATGCATGGGCGGATCGTGAATTTGTGGGGCCCTGGGCTGAAACTACTTTGGGGCCCTAATAGCCATTTTGTCAAAAAACTGTTTTCTATAGTGATGTAGATAAGCATATAGAAAAAAATAGGACAATAAAATAGTTTTATTTATTTTTATTTGTCTATACAAACAGCAACTGTACAACATTATTACAAAGGAAATTGACAGGTTAGGTGTAGTTATGTTACATAAATTATAAAGCAACCTTTCTGCATTTTGGTGCTGCAAATTCCTTTATTTGCTCATCACATTGTAAGTCCTTCGTTAAATTACAATTTATGGAAGGAACTGATAAATGATTTAGTCGATGGTTCGACATTGTTGTCCTATATTTGTTTTCTATATGTGACATCCTGGAGAAAGAGCGCTCAGCTTCACAGCTAGTGATTGGCAAAGTTAAAAAAATCTTTAAGATAGTGTAGCAATTTGGGAAAACATCAACAAATTTCTTTTCATAAATTAGCATAAAAATTTCACTGCAAGAGGTGTAAGACTCTGGCTTAGACTGAAGTAAATAAGATTTTAACTGAATGCACTCATTCACTAAATGCTCGTCTACGTCATCTGGATAATAATCAACATTATTACGTACACTTTCCAGATTTCCATATTTTTGTCTTGCAAATCCATTAAAAATTTGAATTTCTTGTTATACATCTCATAGACTTGACTCCTTTTATTTAAATCCATAATCAGCTTATCCAACGCAACGTTTAGAGTGTCTCTTTTAAATTTTTCTGCGCCGTATACTGAGAATTTATCTGTAGACTTATCTGAAAATTTTGGAGTAATGCGTCTCTTGTTTATGTCATTGTAGTCTATTCCCACACTAGTACTTAATTTTTTAGCTTTCTCTTCGTATTCCTTTAGCTTCTGATCTGATTGGTGCCTTATGTTGTTCACGAAGTCTTTTAATGATACAATTAACTTGTTGCCTTCACGTGTCAACCACACTAACATTGATTTCTTATGTTCATTAGAATTTTCATGATTTTCTAAACAAGTTCCTATGTGTTTCCAATCAGAAAATCCGGTTGTGTATTGAGAAGGGATTTTAGAAAAAAGTTTGCAAGTCAAACAAAAAACAGTACCAACCCTGGTTGAATAACATAACCAAGATCTTTCCAGTGATTGACCATTTTTCATTTTCTTAATGAAATACCTATTTGAAAATGTTCTGTTTTGTTCTTTGTATTTCTTTATTGAAGCTGAATATATATTTTTCGGATCTTTATTTTAAAAGTCAGTCATTTCATGTGAGAGTATGTCATTAATAAAATTATTATTTAGCAATTCTGGCCACAAGCCCACGTCAGCATATTTCTCAAACTCAAACTTAATATTCTCTAAATTTCTTTCCGCCTCAGTATTACCGTCCTCTTGCTGAACACCATTATAGTTTTCAGTGGGATCAGAGGTTCAGTGGGATCAGAAAGTTATTAGTAAACTAAACAAGTTTGTCACTTTGATGACAAGAACAGAAGTGCGGAAAAAAAACAAAATTACGTCGGGCGTTAAGCGGCTCTGCAAAAGTCCCCCGTAATAGACACGAAAAAATACACTGACCAAAAACAAGGGACGGGTAATTCCCCGTTCCGTTCTATAGACGCGCACATGCATGGGTTGATTGATCTCAGGGTTGCCAACCTTATAATATTTTTTTTATAATATTTGATATTTCTTTCAATTCAAAATATCACCTATTGTTTTCAGTAGGGACTGGGGCCCTTTGTATCCACGGGGCCCTGGGCTGCAGCCCAAAAAGCCCTTAAGTAGATCCGCCCCTGCTTACATGTTCTTTCTAATTAGTAAATTTTTTGCTTTTCTTTTTGCATTCATGGCTCAATTTGTGAAGGAGCATTTTTCCCAAGTGTTTCAGCTAAAAAAAAATTTATGCAGTGCATAATTTTTTTAATTAATTAAATGATAGTTACAGATTAGTTTTATGCCAACATAAGCCTAACTTCGCCATTCTGAAGTGTATAGTTAAAAATAATTTTGGAAGAAACCTGTGCACTCTTTTCTGTGAAATGTTACAGTATGTCTAGATCATCTGATGACTCTGTTTTCATAAACTGAGCTCTATTTTGAGCCTGATTATTTTTCTGAAAATTTTTTTGCCTATTGCAGGGATGAGATTCTTCCGCGGATTTCCGCTTTTTTTTAGATTTTTCCATTTTTCCCGCTAATTTCCGCGGAAATTTTTTTGATTTTTGAACAAGTTAAAATATTTTATGAGGAATTTAATTTTCCGCGGAGCGAAAGCATTGAAGTCCTCATTCCTCCCTCTCAATTTTCTCAAAAAATCGTTTCCTTGGGATAAAACTGGTTGACCTTTATACAGGGATGAGATTTTTTCGCTTTTGCCTTTCAAATTTCAGCCTTTTTATCAAAAACTCGGATTCTCTAAAAGTTTCGTTTTTTTTTTTTAAATAAATATCCCGCTTTTTTTTTTATTTTTTATTTTTTTTTGAAAATTCAATCGTTAAAATAAAATAATCATATTTATTTACGATTTTCAAAGGTAAACAAAAAATTCAAACTACATCCTAGCTGCTACCCCTTCCGTATTTTTACTTATTTTAGCTATTTTCTCTTCACAGAAAATAAGATTTTCCGTATTTTTATTCGTCCGCCGGATAGCTCGTATTTTTGCAATTCAGACGTCATGACCCTGTTGTCTGGCATGAAAGCAAGCGAAAAAAATAAATAAATATATAAAATAATAGAGGTGGATTTGGGGTGAAAATATTTATTTGCTCATTCAATTAATCTTGTAAATTTTTATTTATTATGTCTAAGCAAAAACAATACAAACGAGCCTTTTATAAATCCCAAGTCCAGTCTCTCGAGATTTTAATATCAATCATCGATTTTTGTATTTACCTGATTTAAAAGTTGCGCAATGCGATTCTTATTTACGCTACTCAAACATCGTACATTATGATTCTTAGTTACGAGATTTAAAAATCCAATATAGCGATTTGTATTTACACGATTTTAAAACCCTATTATGTAGCGATTTGTATTCACGATTTTCGTATTTGCCTGATTTCAAAGTTGAACGTTGCGAGTCTTATTCAGGCGATTTAAATATCATACATTGCGATTCTTATTTACGAGATTTAAAAATCCAATATAGCGATTTGTATTTACGCGCTTTTGAAACCCTATGTAGCGATTCGTATTCACGCGAGCTTAAATTCCTATGTCGTGACTCGTTATTGCGGTTGTAATATCAAACATCGATTTTCGTATTTATACGAAATCCAATCCAATATAGTAATTTGTATTTATGCTTTTTAAAACCCTATGTAGCGATTCGTATTCATGCGAGCTTAAAATTCTATGTCGTGATACGTTTTTGCGGTTGTAATATCAAACATCGATTTTTGTATTTATACGAAATCCAATCCAATATAGCGATTTGTATTTACGCGCTTTTAAAACCCTATGTAGCGATTCGTATTCATGCGAGCTTATAATTCTATGTCGTGATACGTTTTTGCAGTTGTAAAATCAAACATCGATTTTCGTACTTAAACGTGCTTTGAAAATTAAACATTGTGATTTGTATTTGCGCGACTTGAAAATTATGCATCGTGATTCGTGTTTACGTGCTCTAAAAATTACGCATCATGATTTGTATTTTTGCATATTTTAAAATTCTATATAGAGTTTCATATTCACGTGATTTAAAAGCCTCATATCCGGATTCACATCCTCTCTATTTAAAATTAAGGCATGTGATTAATATTTATATATTCATACAAATTAAAATTAATCGTCAGAATTTATAATCACATGGTTTACAAGTTTAAAGATCTCACTCTTTTTGTCAAATTTTTGTGTGTGTATATATATATAAATATTCATTCATTCTTGGATTTCCTCTTTTTTACTTTCTGACTACTCTCATCCCTGCTATTGGCTGTGTAACTGTGTAAATAAATTTAAAAAACTGATTTATTTCCAGCATCTACATTTCAAACCTTATTTATTTATTTTTATATGTTTATTAGTTTTATTTTTTAATATCATTTGTTGATAAATACTTCATATGTTTTGTTTAAATGTGTTTATAACTTTCAAATTTTTTATCTTATATGTAAAAAAATTTTATATGTTTTTAGGATGGACTGGAAAGACATGTGAAACTGAAATAGACATCTGCGAACGAAGCATTTGTAATGGAGGATTATGTGTTTTAGGCACAAATGAGGAATCTAACATTCAGAAAAATATTACTTGCTATTGTGTACCTGATTACCATGGAAAATTTTGTGAGTTGAGATACAATGAATGTATTCCAGAACCATCTTGTGAGAATGGAGCTACATGCATTGATGATGTTGATGGATATTCATGTATTTGCCCTGCTGGATATTTAGGTATATAACAAACATTGTTTTGTTTTCTTTTTTGCTTATGATTTCTTGAATAAACTAATTAAGTAGAAGTGGAAACTTTTTTATATTTCTCTAGTCTTGAAATTGAAAGATATTTCTTTTGAAAAGCAATAATTATGCATAAATAACTATAATTTTTTTATAACTGAAAAATAATTCTGAAAAGTTGTGACTCGTGTGTTTATATGTATTAGATATGAAAAAGCAGAATAAAAATAATTATGAGTTTTTTTTTATTTATTTCCATTTTAAATTTTGCCAATTTGGGGTTTTACTATTTTAATGGAGATTCACTCTTTTAAGCAGACATTACAATTTTATATTTGTAGTGTCCATGTTAACTGTTATATTATGAACACTATGTTAAAAGTTACTTCATTACTTAATTTTTTATGTAAGAATTTTTTTGTGCAATTTAATTATTAGTCTCCATATTCATTTCTGAAATCTTTATTTTTACATAGAATTGTCTTATATGTGAAAAAAATGTAATCACATAGCACTATTCTAATCTCTTGATGAAAAGCTCTTTACCTTGTAAATTTTAAATGAATGTCTATCAATTTGTTAACAATTATGAAAATTAAAATATTAATACTTGACTTATATATAGTAAACATAAGGCATACTTTATTGAATGCAAGGCATTAAACCTCTGTATAAGATTTCATGAGGAATGTTTGTAAAACACAATTTATCCTGTATTCTTACATGTACAATCTTTATTTGTTCCTTTATAAATCTTCAATTGAAAAAAATTTTAATTGCTAGTTTTCATGTTAATTAGTAATTTTGCCAGTATTTTATAGTTCAAGTAAAGACAATATGTTAAAATTTATTAACTTTATCAGCATTGTTCATATTTTCACCTTAGATATCCTGGGGATTTAACCTGATTTCGGTAAACACAAGACCCATTACTTTACGTTTCAACAGTTCAGCAGTTTTTTTTCAATCAAACTATATTTACAATGCCTTTGATTTAATTTATTTTGAGTTTGCCACATCATTTAGGTTTCAATGCACTATAGCTGATATTAATAAATTTTGCATCGAACCATCAGAAAATTGTGTCTATTTAACCTAAAATTTTTATTACTAATTATATTTTTCAGTTTACCAATCAACTTTTTTTGATCAAAGCTGGAAAGCAAGAGAGAAGTCATAAGTAAATTATCTAGTATCTAGTTAACAAAGTTCCTACTATTATATCCTGTACAAAAACCGTGCTATAGAAAATAAAAAGGAATAGTCAATTCATTTTAAAACTTAGCATACTTATATCAGTTTTTTTAAATTCTTTAAAATATTCGTCTAAAAGGTATTGAAAGATATTTTTCAAATTATTAATATGTTGTAGCATTAAATTGTCTATTATTTAATTGAAGAAATAAATTTTTAAGGAAGTAATTTTATCACATTTTTTGATTAGGCACAGATCTTAGTCTTACATATTTATAATAAAAACTCTTCAAATCAGGAATTGAAACTTTTTTATTGTCTTCTATAAAAATCTACAAAGTTAGAATTCAACGTGTTTAGTGGAAGACTCTGTATAATTGTCTACAGTGAATGTTAATTTCTGGGATTTAAAAAAGATAAGGAAATGAGAATTATAAACTTAAGCAACAAAAAAAAAACATTATACTCTATTAAGTTAAAGAGCTGGTAATTTTATTTTTTATTGTTTTTTATTTGGACTTTTGACCTATACATTAAAGACCAGAACCATGGGTTACAATTTAATAATAAATAATTTACCGTATAAACTTAGACCTCTTAGTAAAAATAATTTTTTTTCTCTCACTATATTTTGATATATTTTACAGGATCAACATGCAATGAAACATTCACATGCTCTGGAGAAGAATGTCCACACTATTTACCTTTCACAGATGCCGCTACTTCTCATTGGCTACATAATGTGCAGACAACATCTATAAGCCCTTCTACTGCCATGGACTACAGCCTTAATTTGCATTACAATGATAACTTTTCCAAATCTGGAGTCCACCTGTATCCATCTGAACAGTCATCAGCTTTCAAAACTTTACACACTCATAATGATGCCTTAAAACAAACCCTTTTTTTACTGAGCCTTGAACAAAAATTTAAATCAGAAAACTATTCGTATGAGGACTTTAATTTTAGCCAAACTCCATTTTCAGTTGTGCAAACAGAAAACAGAATGAACATAACAGCTGTGGCACTTGTCTATTCCACCCCATTGCCTTACTCAACTTTGGAGTTCCAGAATGATGTTGCAAACGTAACTGATTTTCTAGCAACTCCTTCTCTCTCTGAGACAAAACAAAGCATAGACAGTTCTAAAGTTAATGTACAGTCATTACTCTTCAAAACAGGTATTAATATTTTAATATGCATTTTTGTTAAACCAGAAGGAGATGCGCTTCCTATCTGTACATTAAGACGCTTAGGGATCATGGAATTAATTACCCCATTGGAAATTCATTATTGCCCTTCTAAAAATGTTATAATTTTGATTGGAAACATAGACTTAGACATTGAATATTTATTGCTCTACTGTTTAAAGCTTTTTATCATTGTTTTCGCAATAATATTTATAAAGTAGGATAATATTTACTTCTCTGATAATTAGTATATAAATTATTATGTTAAATTCAATATTATTATTTTAGTGCAGTATTTTTACTTATATTTTGTTTTTTCGGAGGCAGTACATGATATTATATGTTCCTTTGAAAAAAATAATTGGGCTCAAATCATTAGTTTCAGTAGTTCACGATCTCACAAACAAAACTTCTTTTTAAAGAAGTTTTTATTTTCTATTTTGGTGATTCCAAGCAAAACCTGTTCAATATTTGAACTTATAATTCATTATTCAAACGCAGATTAACAGCAAGTTTGCTAACATTGATCACTAATAAGTGGCATAGCAAGGTCTTTGATTTTTATACAAAGTTAGATAACAGCGCCAGTTATTATGCACAATTACTGGATTTTTGTTAGGTAGCAAGGCAGTTCTTGTACTTATTATGACATAACTTTTGTGGGACATTCATTATAAATAAAAATCACTTTAATTGGGTATGAAAAAAGACGCATTGAACTTGTCAGTCACGAGAAATAAAATAATTTGTAGAACAAACTGAAAGACTCCCATGGTCATTCTATGATCCCAATAACTAAAGAAATGTCCATTTGGGGAGTGAAAATGTCAGAAATGTCTCCTAATTATTTCCAAAAAGTAGGTAAGGATAGAAAACTCAACTACTGATAAAAAAAAAAAAGAATTAACAGGTGTTCAGTTTTTGGTTTTTTTTTTTTTTCTAATCAGAACTTCTAGGACATATGGGGCATTAAGTGTCCCCCATATTAAGACTGTAAAGAGTGATATATGTGTTCTGAAAAGACAATAATTTTATTGTAAAAAAACAACTGAAGGTAAAAATAATAATAGTGATAATGTTAGGTTTCTTCTCATTTCAATACTTTAATGTCATACTCTTTTATGATTTGTATTTTTTTTTATAAGAGTCTATATTCAAAATGTTTACGTTTGTTTTTATTAATGAAATTTGAAAATCATTTTAATTTAGATTAAATCATACAATTCAATAAGTGACATATGCTTTTGATTTTTAGAAGTATCTGGGAATGCTGTTTTTGAAAGGTCAACTCACGTGCCAAACTCAACTTTAGGTCTTGAGAGTATTTATATCTCAAAGCCAATTCACACTCTTCCTGTCTATTCTTCTGATAATGGAGTTGGCCGAAGTCTTCCTGAATTATGTGATGATTTACACTGCCAAAATGGAGGAACTCCTGACATGTTTGACAATATGGATCTGCATAATGCGAAATGCAAAGTAATTTTGAGAGTATTAATGTTAGATAAATATCTATTCCTCAGTTTTTTATTTTAAAATACTGGAGCTCAGTTTTTTATTTTAAAATAAATATATTATAGAAGTCTTTTATTTTTGTTTGTTAATTAATTAATTTATTTATTTTTGAAAGTATATAAAATTTTATTTTAGAGTAAAAGGAAAGAGGGCTCTATATAGTTTTATTTAAAAAATGAATAGAGATTTTTCATACTTAGATTTTCTTTATTTTAAATTGAATAGTGTATTAAAAGTATATATTTTTTTATCTCATTTATTAACAATGAAATATTTTGTAAATCTTTGAATAATTAAGAAATTTTGGGTTAAAACTATATCATATTGGATTCCTTTTGAAAATGGTAGAAGTACCCTGAAACAAATTAATAAACTTTTGCATGTTACTTATTTATTCTGAAAATTATACTATTGAGTGAATGTTAGATATTAATGCAAATTAAATATTTAAAAGTATGAAAGTTAAATATGTCCACAATTTGATGAATACATAATTTGACCAAATGTATAGCTTGTCAAATTAGAATCAAAACCGTTATTGAAACATCCTACATAGCTTGTTAGTGGTATATTTCTGATTATGTATCTTTAAAATAATCACATAGACAATATTGCAGCTTAATTAAGTTAACAGTATTTATTATTATGGAAGTGAACTGAAATAATATTTTTAGGATATTTAGTTCACTGTATCATGTGATATTGTTACATTGCGAATGTTATAAAATTTGTATTTTACAACAGTATAATCACTTCAGAATTTTCAGTCATTAATCGTTTTATTAAACAAAGCCATATAGATGTCCATTTATAGAACATTAGATCCTCTTTCCAACATGCGTATATTTTTTAATGTGTTCGAAAGTTATTCTGCTATAAAAGTTTTTTTTTCCTAAAAATATATAAATATTTGTATTTTCGTATTCTCAATATTTATTATATATTTCTGTTTTCATTTATTATATTCATTTATTATATACTTCTTCAAAAGTTCCCCACCTGTTTTGTTTAAAAAATTGCATAAATTTAATTCAGCCATTAACAGATCATGCTATGATTAAATTTCTGAAGAAAAGATAGATAATAATAAAAATTTGTTCTGTTAATGCAAAAACTTAATTAGAAGTAAATGTAATCTTTGATGTAAGTTTATAACTTTAATTTCATAAATTTAGTTTCAAAAGTTAAGCAAAGTTCCTTATATGTATTATAGATTTCACAATAAAGAAAAAAAATTGTGTAATCTTAAAATATGGCAGAAATTCTAAATAGTCAAACCCTTTGAATAGGGGTGAGATTTTTACAGAGACTTATTTAAATCTCCCTCTTTTTCACTTTTTTAAAAAAAATATCCTAAACTTATTGATTTACATCTAAAAAAATAGAAAACTAAACTTTACTGAAATGTTAGTTTTCTAAAGTTATAGTTAGAATTCATAGTTTGGAAAATAAAGAGTGGTGTAAAAGATTAAAATAGCAATAAAATGTCAGATTTCTTTTACCTAAAATGCTTACAACCCTGGCAAATTTTCAAAGCTACCCTATTTTCCATCCTCTAATTTTTATTATTTTGTTTTTCATTGGCTAGTTTATGAGTTCTTTATAGTTTAGTATGGATGTGCTAATATCTTCTTTATAAATTTGCAACCTTAAATATTAATTCGCTTTTTACTTTTCAAGCTGTCTCCATATAAATCTATTTTTAATCTCTTTTTAAGTGCCTGTGCCCACTGCTTTATGCTGGAGTGCATTGTGAAAGAGAAACATATTTGCTCATTCCTCAGTTTCACAGACCATCCTTCCTCAAACATGCTCTCCCACTAATTGAACCTGAAAAAGGCTTAGATATTGATATAAGCTTCAAAACTTCTTCACCTGAAGGTACAATCTTATTTACCGAAGCAGCTAGTAGTGGTTCATTCCTCTTCCTCTACATTGAACATGGTTTGCTCAAATTTCGATTCTCGTGTGGGCATCAAACTACTATTTTTATGGAGACTCATGCTGCTGTCAATAACAGTTTTTTCACTTCTGTATCTATATCGTAAGTAATCTTTATAGTTGATGAAAATAGAAACTTACTACAATATTCAAAAATGTTACCCTTTTTCAATTCCTACTATTAGTTCATACTCTCCCTACATATATTTATGTATCTTGTTCAAATTTTTAATCGTTTATGAAATACTTTTTATTCAACCACTCAAGTTCAAATAGATTTTTTTAAACTTCTAGTGGATGACACTTGATTTTAATACAGTTCATTCATTAATTAATTTGTTAATTCATTAATTAAATATATTAATTTTAGTTTTATATGGGAGAAAAAATATTTCTCTTATGAAAGATATTTAGCAGGATATAAATTTAAGAATAAATACCGTCAGTGGCGAGGCTGTCATATGTTTGTATGATTCTGTCCTATGTATATACATATTAATATTAATTGTAATTATTCAGTGAAAAGTTACTAAAAAATTTTTTTTCTTTGTTGACCTAAGTAGGAATTAACTTTTAAAAAAAAATTTATATTTCTTGTTAATAACTGTGTTGTATAAAAACTTTTGTAAATAGTTTAAAGTTTCTAGAAGATTTATTAGGCTGTTTATTCATTTTAAAATTTCATATTTTCATTTAAAATATTGTATCACTTTAATTTTAAATTCAGAAGCTAAAAAACCTTTTTTTATAAACTAATTCTGATGCAAAGCAAACCATTGAAAAGAGACCTGTTCGTTGGAGGCCTGTTCTTCTTCTACAAAGACAATGCTCCTGAGCAAACATCTAAGCCCACTTCTGAATAGTTTCTGGATAATTATATACATTTTATTACTCGTTTGTCTTGCAGCCTTTTTTTAGAAAATATATTAAGCATGCTTAAAGGAATTACAGTATATACAGCTAGAAAGGTGTACTAAAGAATTGAAAAAAACACTGTTTCCTCTAAGTGAGCAACAATCGAAACGAACTGTTTACAAAACTTGTAGAAATCATGCTGAATAGAATGTATAAGCTCAACCTGAAAAACAAAAGGAAAGGGCTATTTCATTTAATTTTTATTTTTCTAATTTCTGTGATTTTTTCATTGCAAGTAATGCAGTTTATAAAATAGTTATCAAATAAAGTGGGTTTTTTTTCGCAACATAACTTTTGTTTTTACAACTGGGCCTGTCATTTTGTGCATCGATTGAGGTAAAAAGACATGTAAATTAGTTTTTTATGTTTACATGTTTTGGTGAGTGTTCTTTTATTGTTTATTTTGTTTTTGGTTTACCCTTACAGAACATCTTGGACTCCAGATATTGCACATTTGAGAAATGCATCATGTAATGTGGGCTTGCTTGTAAATGGTACTGCTCCGATGGGGGGTCAGCAGTTTGTTCTTCTCCCAAGATTTGATTTTCACCACATATATATTGGAGGTGTGCCGCCTTCTTTGAAAAGCTCACTCAGAGATGTTCATAGAATACCATCATTAGAAGGCTGTGTTATATTTTTGCAAGTAAATATTCTATACTACACTTGTATTTCTTGAAAGATTTTAATTTATATGATATAACTTTTGAATTATGTATTAAATGAAAATAAGTGGTCTATTAAATATTCAGTATTAAAAAGAATTTTATTTTATTTACTATAACTTCATGAAGAATTCTTTTTAGTTGTTACTTTTTTGAGAAAAAAAATGTTTTTTTAATAATAATAACTTGTAATTTTTTACAATAATTCAAATTTTTTTACATAAGTTTAATACTTATGTATAAATATTCTTCTCCATATATATCCACCATAAAATGATATCTACTTACTCTATGGAAAAAAACAGTTGTAAAATTTATTTACAAATACAGTAATTATTATACAGTTTTAAGATTTATCACTTTTTTCCAAAATTGTAACTTATAAGTCTAGAAACATTTGCCTTTTTTTCACCCTTTAAGGGTGGAATAAATTTAAAGATTATTGATTTATTTATTTTACCAAAATTATAATTTTTTCAGCATTTACTCTTTATTTATTGATTTATTATTTTTACGCAGATGTGTTTGAAATTTTTAAGTGATTACTTGTGGAAAACTCGGTAGTTTCAAACAAGGTATTTTTTATTATCAATAGAAATATATATTTTTAAAAAATTGAAAAAAGAACTCATTAAATATTAAATATGAAAAAAGTTTAAATCTCGGTGGTTTTTTAAATTGATCATTAGTTGAGATTAAAACGAATTTGTGTCGGGTAATTTTGCTTTCTACCCCTCCAAAATCTATTGATCATTGCAGCCTTGTGTTTATTAAATTATTATTTATTTTTATTTATTTAGTACCTATAGATTTTTTTATTCAAAAAATGTATGTACAATAAACAAAACTAAGTGTATGTACAATCTATGTATTCATTTTTAATTTTTAGCTTACATGTTTGGTGAGTGCTGACATGGAGTTTAAAATAAACTAAACACAGTAGGAATGATCTGGTATTGCCATTTGGTGTATAGATTGAGAAATAAACATTATTCTGGCATAAGAAATAGATTGTTTTAATCTTTTTGGCATTGTTACTTGTGAGTACTTTAGCCCGGAAATATAACGGGCACATGAAAGATGAAATTTCACCATGTAATTTTGATGGAAGTGACAAATAAGGGATTAAATTTAGGCTGTTTAAAATAACATTTTTTTCATATTATTATTCTAATCAAAAAATGTTTGAAAGAAAGTTTATATTCTTCTGTGCATGTTTTGATATTTTTGTTACAATTTTGAAAATAATAATTTTTTCACTCATAATCATATGCAGTGTTTGCTGATACCACAAAAATTGACAAATATTGCATTATTATTTAGCATAAACAGTGCTTTTATTTAAACTCAAACAAATATGTTTAAAATCTTCCACAGACAAAAATTGATTGTTTTGTTTTTTTAAACTTTCCTGTTAAATTTATGAAACATGTTTAAAAGTTTAATTTTAATTTCTTTTTCCTTCCATGAGTTGTAGATTAATGGTGAAGAAAAAGAGATAGTTCAAGATGCTGAAATTGGTGTAGGAATTACTGAGTGTTACAGTAGTGCCTGTTTCAAAAATCCTTGTCTTAATGGAGCAACTTGCAGAAGGTAGGACTTTATTTATAAATTAAATTACATGTAAACTGAATTAATTAAATTATATATGTCTGACATTTCTAATGTAGCTCTGATTCCCTAAAAAATACTTATGCAAGTATGAAAAAAATAGATAAATAATATTTTTAAGCAGCACTAGAAATTTGATTATAATACTTATAAATGTTTGCGTTTAGTAACTGACTGTGCAGTGTTATAAATTTTTTGACTTTCTTTATAATTTTTACATATTTTTTATTTCAGTAAAACATATTATGTATACATTATTTTGAGTTAAAATATTGAAATCGTTTTTTTTTTTCTATAACCAATTAAAATAATAATAATGTCAATGAAGGTTATATTCTTTTTTTATATTTTTAATTTGCTTTTCCATTAAACTTTTTGTTCTATTTATGCATAGTTCATGGAATATTTCTCAATCTGATTAAGATAACTAAAATCAATGTAAAATATTAAGAAGTTTTATTTATTTTGGAAAAGTTAAATTTAGATACCTTAATATATTTTTCTTTTTCTCAATCTGTAAAAAATCTTTTTTAAAACAATTTGATATTCCTGGAAATATGTTCATAATTTCTAAAAAAGCTTTGGAAAGAAATTCATATATAAATACTCTTTAATCTCTCTCTTTTTTATGTTGGTGAAATCGATATTTTTATCCTAGGCCAAAGGAAATTTGTTTAAATAATATTTAAAATTTATACTTTTTATTTATTTTGGAAAAATTTAGAGTAATTAAAAATTTAGGAAGTTTGGAAAAATTTAGAACAAAATAAAAACTATTATTTTTTAAACAAAAATTATTTTGGATAGTTAGTTTAAGAAACATATAATGGATGCTTATATTTTCTTTTTCCTAAAAATAATTTAAATGTATTAAAAAAAAATTCTACTTTGTTAAGTTCAATATGTATTATTATGGTAAAGAACAAAACAATGTTCTGATAATAGTTTATGTCTGTTCTAATCTTAATTTTATTCATTACTTAAAGAAAATATAATTATAATATTAAATGTTATGCTTTTATTTATATGTGTAGCTATGAGGATCATTGGAATTGTGAATGTTTAGATGGGTTTGCTGGTCCTTTTTGTGAACACAAAACTTGCTTTGCAAATCCTTGTGAACACGGTAGTACCTGCTTGCCAAGCTTTGATTCAGGTTACTTGTGTGTTTGTCCGTATGGAAAGCATGGGAAAAACTGTGAACAAGGTAAAATAGTGATTCAAGCTGAAAATATTGAATATAATATGGAATTGAGATACATTCATTGTTTTGTTTATTTTTTAGATTTAGTTATAATCCGTCCTTCATTTTATGGTGACATAATGGGATACTCTTCCTACATACAGTACCAGTTATTTTCTGACTATCATTATCACTTGGAAATTCGGATAATGTTTACTGTGAAAAACATACTTCAAAACTCTCTTTTGCTGTTCAATGGTCAATTAGGTGAGAAATCTTATTTTAAAAAATTTAATTAAAGTGAACTAAATGGTGGCCTATTGTATTTTTATCTGTGTTTATAGAAAATTATTAAAATATTTCTGTAATATTGTATTGCTGTTTTGTCTAAAACTCATTTTTAAAAGTAGTTTTCATAATATTCTTACTATTTTTTTGATGGTGAAATAATTGTTTAAAAATAATTATTATTTATAATAGTTTAAATAATAATTTAATTTGAATAATTATTCTGTGCAGTGTATATTAACAACAATGTCGGTACAACTTATATTTAAGCAACATTTCTTTACATTTAATAATTTTGAAAATCATGAATAAATAATAAAATAATAACAATAGAAATTAATAACAATTGCCAATTTTTTTTAATGAAATTAGATAGAAAATAGTTAGTTCAGAAAAATTCAGTTAAGTTTTGCAGTTTTAAAATGCAATTAAAAAATCCATTTAAAAATATGTTTCTGAGTAAGAAAAGAAAAAAAAATTCTTTAGATTGTTTTCTGTTCCTAACAATTTTTTCCACACAAAAAATATGTTTCTGCACAGGGAAAATAATGGTTTTATTGTGTTATTTATTGTCTGCATCAAATGAAATATTGTTTCCAATTCTATCTGTTACTGTCCATTCACAATATTGCCACCTGTTTTATTTGATGATATAGATAAGTTTTAAGGAATTTACAAGAGAGAGTGGTATTACTCAATTGCATGGAACCATAGTCTAACTACCTTGTTATACTATTGATTAGAAATTTTGATTGAAAATGCACTTGGAAATTATTCATAATTTTTTTCCCTTAAAATTGAGGCTAAAAGAGGATACCTAAAATGCTGTTATTTTAAAATCCTTAATTTTTAAAATCTCCAATATAAATTGCTTAACCCATAAAAGAAAGATATTGCATAACGGGAAATAGTTGAATCTATAATGCCAACATAAATAGCTTGAGTAGAACATAAATAGCTTTTGTAATAAAATGGTGGTTTTAATTGACAATATTTTGCAATTAAAATGACATAATTCTTTATTTTTTTACATTTTCAGATAACTTTCATCTTGCCAACGATTTTCTATCAATAGGCCTTCTTTCCGGATATGTAATTTATACATTCAACTTAGGAGCTGGTAAATAGATAAACTAATATTTCTATCATTTTTTTTTTCAATATGATTTATATTTAAACTAGTTTCGCAATTCTGAATTAATTTTAAAAGTTTTTTAAATAAAACTTTTTTTAAATAAAATTTTTTTAGTGTGAATCTTTGCAATACATGTAGTAAAATAAATTTAGAATCAAAGGAATTTGCATTCAAACTAAAAAATGCTTTGAATTTTTTTATGTAAGACAATTATTACAGTGTTGTGAGAATTTAAACATTATTTTAGTGCCAATTTTTTTTATGAAAATCTTTACTTATTTTACTTATTATTGTGTTTTTTTATAAACCTAATGTTATTCTGTAAATTATTACGAGTTAATTTATATTATACCTCATAAAGTTTGCAATTTTATCATAAAAATTCATTAGGGATTTTTAAAAGTAACCTTTATTAGCGATAGTGAATCTAAAAATTTCAGAAAATTGATGACTTTGAAATAAACTTAATATTTATATTTCACTCTTAAAAGTAATATAATAAGTTTTTAAATTAATATTTGATTTGATTTTTGTTTAGGAAAATATAGAGAATTTTAGCTTTAAACTTATTAAGGAAAAAAAATCCTTATATGCTTTCCTAGTTATTTCATAAGTATAAAAAAAAAAATTAAAGTCAATTGTCATGATTTTACTCAGATGATTCTGTTCAGATCTTTGCTTCCTATTTGATTTTTGGGAGCAATTGATGAACTATCTTTAAGTAAACTGGAAAATAAGTCTATAAGTAGGTATCCCATTAAATGGGTAAAATGATATAATCATATTAGTATCCTTGATCAGGTTTAAAATGACATAGATGGTGTAATAATTTACTCAATGCAATATTGTTCACAAGTATTGCATTGCTCATAATAAAGAATATTTACCTTACTTCTGCCCAAAAAACATAGATATTATTTCAAATTTAAACAACTGTGCATACAATGTGCAATTCAACTCAAAATTAAAATACATTTTATGCTATGAACATATACGTACTCATTATTTTATTTTGTATTTAACTATTATTAAAAATTTATTTTAATGACTTATAAGCTTTAATCATTCTTAACTATAAAAATAACTATTATAAAAGATGGTGAGTGCCGAGAAAAAGGTTCAATTTATTATTAGTAGATTATATTCTAAATATCATTCTTTCAAATGTCATTGGTTTAGTAATGTGTGCTCATTGTATAATATAAAAAATAATTTCATAAATATGTATTGTTGTACTACCTAATAATATTTTTACTTACCTTCATATTTTCTGTATGCTTGGACATTAGTGAACAAATAATATTATAATTGACTATTGAGAAACATGTTACATGATCTATTTTTAGTCAGAAAATAAAAATTTTAAATATTTTATTTAGCATATGGTCTCTCAGATTTGTATAATCACAGGTTTCTGAAAGCACCCACTAAATGTTATTAAATTTTTCTGTAACGGAATCATTTATATATAATATGGTTACATTTATTTGATTATCGGACTAACGTCCGACAGATATCAGAATTGAAACTACTTGGTCACACATCAATATTTACTATAACAGAAATAAAAATTTTGAGTTGGAAGTAAGGAAGTTTAAATGTTCAATGTGTTTTCTGAAAAAACAACTATTTCAGATGTCAAATAACAATAGGTTCTTCCTCACATTAACTGTAATGAGGTATTATTTCTCATTACTCTTCTGGAGAGGTGGTTTTTGGGATTTGTTAGAATGTGGAAGGGTCAGATTTAAATTTGTGATGGGAAGAAGATATAACTTTCCAAAAAAAATAAATGTTTATTTTGTTTAACTGTCTACAACATGTGTAGAATTATAAGAAGGGTTTTGAATTTTTTTTACTAGTAATAATATTTCAATAAATTTAGTAATCCATAATTTGTTTAATATTTTTGTTGTTTATATAAACTTAATTATGCAAAATGCCAATGAAAAAAATAGCAAAATTTAAGGAAAAAAATATTTTTTTCAATTATGTACAACATATTGAATAAATTATGAAAACAATATGCTTTTATTAAAGTCTTTCAATTCAAAATTAATGTATAGTTGAATTCAAAAATAAAGAATTTTGTTTCTCTGATAAATATTTTCAACATTTAAGACAGCCCTTTTTTAAAAAACTATGATTAGCTTACTTTATTTTTTTTTCTGCATATGCATACATCAAGAACAAATTCATAGTATTAAATATTTTATTCTAACCATTATATATTTTCAAAATAAGTACTGGTCTTTCTTTTTTCTGCTAGTATATTCACAGCTGCTAATGAACTTTTTTTAATGCTGGAGTTCCATCAAAAGAAGTTCAATTATTTAGGGTATGATCACTTAGAGGACTCAATTAACTAAAACAAATTGGGAACCGCTACTCTAGAAAACTGTGAAGGTTTCACTTTTACTAGCAATAAATAATCATTGATGAGAAACAACTTGAATTTCTATATCACTAATCTTATAGACTTTTAAATGTAAACAGTTTCACAAACTTGAATTAAGATTTCTAACTCATAATTAAACTTTATAAATTTAAATTTACTTTATGAATTCTATAATATATTTTTATTTGCAAGGCCGCAAAAAACTGAGAAAATATTATCTCATTTCCAATGTAAATGTTCTGTTAGTGTAATCACCGTTTGTTGGAATTAGGTACTAATGATATGTGTGATCATTATTACTACTGTATACATTTTAAGAAACTTGTACAGTACACAAAAAAAAACAAAGAACCCACAATGAATCTTAATCTGATGATCGAAGTTTCACGTACTAGAACTCAAACTTAATGGTGATCTCAAATATGCTAATATTTGAAGTCACCATTGAGCTTGAGTCCTAATATTAATTTGAAATTCAATTTCTCACAAACAACCTGTTTTGTTCATATTTTGCCATATAAAAACCCATTTATTAAGATGATGTTACACATTTGTGGCTAATTTAGTAGATTAATTATTTTCTGCGTCAACTAATTAGCGCATTTGAGATCCCCCCCCCTTATATCATTGAGAATGAGTCCTAGTATGTGAAAATTCGATCATTAGATCAAAAGTTATTCATATTCAAGATACTTCTTTCTTTTGTACTGTACATTCATTTACCGTAAATTATTTTTCTTACAGATTCATTAAATAGGTTTTTTAAGTATATTTATATTTTGTTCTTTTTTTTTTGTAGGTACCCGGGTATTAAGAAGTGTTTCTCCTCTGAATCAAAATGTGACTATTCATTCAGTATTAATAGGAAGACACCGTCGTTACTGTTGGCTGGAGGTTGATTCACAAGTAAAGGTTGTTGGACTAGCATCTGGGCAGTTAACAGCGTTAAATACACCTGCTGTTCTTTACATTGGTGGGCATTCTAGCTATAATTTCAGTTTGCTACCTGAAGAATTAAAAGAGCTTAGAGGATTTGAAGGTACATATTTCCTAATTAAGGTATCCGACTGGGTAAATATCCACAACTTTGAGGAAAATTTGAATTTTTTTTTAATCATCTTTATCTGAAATTTTGTTCATTAACTTTCATCTTCTTTTTAGACTGTTGTTCTGCGATCCATAAAATTAAAGTTGTAATTGTTTTTTATTCTTTTGCTGACGAAGGAAGCAAAATAGCAATTACATACTTTAATTAAAAACATTTTCAGAAAAATGTTGATTTTGAGAAAATCTCTTTACACTAACACACATTACAAAAAAAGTTTAATATAGAATTCTTTGAAACTTTGTATTTAGATTGTATGTAATGTTAACTAAAAGCTGAAGTATAATTCTGAATTTATTACATTTATTTTGCTTCAAGTAAGGTTGTTTAGAACATTTCTTTGAAAAATCAATACTGAACAATATAATTATATTTTTTCTTTTTGGATTGCGAGAAGTACAAGTAATTGATTGAGAATAATAAGTAGGGATCCCCATAATTAACTTAAAATTCTCATGCATGGTTTTTTCTGAGTCTTCTTAAAAGTGTTAAAATATGTATCCACTAACACTCTTTCGCAAAGTTAACTTTAATATTTATGTTTTAATTGTATAAATTTATGTTTAAATAGTTTTTTCCATATCAGGAAATGTTTAAATATCTCCACAAAATTTTCTTCGGTAGAGTCAATGTTTTGTTAAACTTTCTGTAATACGTAACTTTATTTTTAATGGTTTTAAAGACTCAAAAATGGCACTTTTGAATTTAAGGATAGATTAGATATAAAAAAGAGAGAATTTATTACAAAAAGTTATCCAATTCGTCAAATTTTTAGGATCAATATTACTTTAAAATAATTTTATATTATGCATTAATTGGGAAAATTTTATGTTGTTATATTAATATTTTTAATGCAAATCTTATTCTTATTATTAGCACTGTCTTTTGTACTGAAACTGGCACTATAATTTCTGCATATGTTTTTAGCATAGGAATTTGATATGTATTGCATACAAATATTGTGTAGCATATTCTATTTTTGTACGAGCTCTTGTATTTTTATATGTATATGATGCATATTTGTAAAATCATATTTTTATGAGGTAATTTAACTAATAAATATTAATTACATGCATATTTTGTTTCTCAAACTGGCTTTGGAAAGAAAAATCTCCACCCAACTTCTAAAATACTTAAATGAAATTTTTTCGTTATATATATTTGTTATAGGCTGTGTTTTTAGTGTGGAACTAAGAAATAGCCCCAATGCTGTATTTAGAACTTTACAACCTATCATTGATGGCCGCAATATACAACAGTGCAATACTACTGAGTGTGATTTAGTTCAATGTGCAAATGGTGGTACATGTATTGATGTAGGATCTACTTTTCAGTAAGTTTTGAATTTGCATAGACTCTTACACGGTTTTTGTCATAAAGAAATTATTTTTTGTTAAATAAATGAATTTATTTATTTATTATTGTTATTTTAGTGATCAGCATTGTAATGTAAGTTGTGTTTTCTTTGCAGCAGTTTCTGGAGAAAAAAAAATTTAACATTTAGAAACTTGATTTGAATTTTTGAAATCATTGTTGATTTCATCTTAAGTTTCTGTAAACTCATTCTCAGTTTTGCGATTGTTATTAACAAAATAAAATAAATTCTATTTCAAACTTCAAATAAGCAGCGATATATTTATTTGGATAATTTTTTTTATGTTTGATAGATTTCTGCCAAAATATATTCTTTGGCTTCTCATCTTCTGTGCTATTTTTTAAAAGCTTTTGCTATATTTTAACAAAATATTAATATTGATCATGCCTTGTCCCACAGATTTTAAATTATGTTAAGGAATGTGGTTGTAAAAATTTAAAACAATTTATTTATTTTTAATCTAACTGCTTACTTCAAGTGATTTCTAACAGTTTTATGAAAAACAGTTTTAAAAAATCATAAATATGTTTGAATATATTTCTACTCATTTAATATATTCTTAGAAAGTAAGCTACTTTTTAGACATTAGGTATAAATTGAAAGATATTACAAAATAACTTGCAAAAGCTTAGGATTTTACTATTAAATAAAGCTATTGTTAATGACTTATTAGTTTATTAATTATTATTTACTAAAATAAACTTACAACTCAACTTTTTAAGCTATTAAATGTTTTGCATTTTTGTGACATAACCATCAATTTAGTTGACTCTTATTTCGAACCAGCTACATTTTATTTAAGTTATTGATTAAAAAACTGCTATAATAAGATGAAAGATTTCATGACATGAGTGCCTAATTTTTTTTCACAAACAAATATAAAATTATTTAAAATTGTTCTGTCATGACATTTAATTATTAGCTATAAATGTGATCATTTGTTCAAAATAATTTTTTAATGTATGTGATAAATTTACAAGCTTATAAGTTTTTTTACTTTAACACTTTGAGCGTTAGTTCCAGCTTTTTTGTTAAACTTTTTGCTGCAAGATTCTATTTATTAAAAAATGGGTTTTCCTCTTATTATTCTCTGAGAAAGTAGTGTGTTGCAGTGAAATTTCAGTATACAATTTTGCTTAGGAGCTCAATGCTTGGAGTGTTAAACAATAAATATCTATGAAGGTATATTTATCTTAGTGTCAAAACTGGCTAGATAAGGAGATATGTATTTTGCTAGAGTAAAAGTTACGATACGTTAATAAAAATATAATTTAATTTGGTAAGATAAAATGAAATTAAATTTGGTAAGATATTGTTGAAAATGTTGTTGAATTTAAATTTCTCTCACCAAGTGATGAATATGCTTGTACGCAATTATTCATTACGATACTAATTGATAATTTAATGAAATTATTTTTTAAATTTACTTGAATTGTTGTATTTATTAAATAAATGAGAACAATTTTATTTTAAGATATACATAGCTCATCTTAAATTAAAATAAATATAAAGTTTTACTGAAGCGGGATGACTGTCTTTGCAGCTTAAATTTTATATGAGAAATTATATTATCTGGTATTTATTAATTGATTTACGAAATAATTTTGTTGTTGATGTATGCCTATTGAGGCAGAGGGGGTGCGATTGTTCTTGTTTTCAAGTGACTCCATGTATGGCCAAGAATTTGACTTTTGCCGCACCATTCGTCGCACCCATTTATAGGGCGGACCCATTCATTCATCCACAGATCGTAATTTTGACCTGAAACAGAGAACAATCAATCTCCAATCCAGTACCCCCAGAGGTATTGATTTGTTATGAGAACATGGAGGACTTTTGCGACTCGACAGATTTAACGTGCATCAGTCACTTTACTACACGGCGAGACCAGGCTATCCCGACCTCCAAAACGAAATAATAAACTGGTTTTATTTGGTTAATTTTTTTTATTATTTTGAAATGTAAATATTTATTGGTGTAATATTAAAAAAAGAACTTTCTTTTTTTCCTTGTGATTTAAGATGTCAGTGTGTAGAAGGTTGGGTTGGAACTTTGTGTACACAAATAGAAACTCCATGCTCCTCAGGCAATCACAAGTGCCATAATTCTTCTCAGTGTGTTCCAGTAGATGATGATTATCGATGTGATTGCCCATTAGGCCAAAGTGGGAAATATTGTGAAAAAAGTATGTTTTTTTATTATACATAGCACCAAGTACTTGTCCCTTGTTAATTCATAAATGGTGTTTTCTAAAACAATGTACTTGATAATCTCTTATTCTTCAGACAGTAGTAATGTTTATAATGCATATTTGTATATCAGATAATGTTTAAATACAAATGTTTGCAATACGTAATGTTACCAATAGTATAATTTAATGTTTTAAGCATTATTGAGTAATGCAATAAAACATGAGCCGTTGTATTACTGTGTCAAAAAATTTAAATAGTATTTTAAAGTTATTTAGAATCTAAAACAAAGGGCTTTACTGGAAATGTTAAAAATTTAGGTTCTCAGGTTTTGCATTAAATTAAGATGTTACTTATATTGTTGGTAGAAAGCAGAGGATTGTGAGCTCAATCCTGGAGTTGGATTAAGCGACTAGCATGCATCCATAGCAAGGTGCAGGATAAATTTGTCCAAGTTAAAATTCTCACATTAGTTGAGAGTATAAGTTTAGAGAGAGAAAGATACCATTTCAAGTTCTTTTTATGTTGTGTTGTCTATAAATTTAAATACCAGTGGAAAGAAAAGTAGATAATAATCTTGAAAGAATCATTGCATTTACTTGAAATAAATTTATATAATTTATTTTATACTGGTAGATTATTATTCATCTGTAGTTTAATACAAAATTATTTTATCAACTTTATATTTTTACACCTTTTTAAATACTCAGATGTATTTACTCAATGCAATTTTGTATAACTTTGCTCAAAAGCTATTTTTCAAGCCAATTTTGTTAATCTTGTTGTGTTTTTCTTTTATGATTTAATTTATCAAGTTCAATAGCCTATTCCCTCTTTGTCTTCATAGGGCTGCTTGCATATTTATTTTTGGATTTTATTTTGTTAAGTTACTCTAATGTCATAAATCTAATGAAAATCAATATATACTACACAATAGAACGGATGCAATAACCTAGTAGTCAAAAGAAAACAAGTTTATATAGCTATTTGTTACAGAAAACAACAGCCATAAGTTAATAAGTTTCAAAATTTAAATTCAAATGTTTAAAGTTTTTATTATTTTGTTTATAAATTGATAGGGAAACAAAACATTTCATATAGTTAATAATTTATCGTAAAAATATATAATTAATAATTTATTAATATAAAAACCCATATAATTGATACAACATTGAAAACCATTAATTTATTTTTTGTTTTTTTACTGTAAAAGAGAACATATTTTTCTTCTATGCAAAACCAGGCTTTGTTTTCTAAGACTATACCTATAAAATGTTGTAATCACCTCTTGTACCAAATACATTTTGTAGAAAAGAATTTTTTGCATTTAAAATTACTTTCCATTTTTTCAGATATCTCAGTCAGTGATCCTTTATTTGATGGTGTGAGTTCATTTCTTTCTACTCAAATGGTGAATGTACGACACAGTATGGATGTTGTCATTAGCTTCAAGCCTTTATCGGACGAAGGACTACTTTTCTATGCTGCTCAGCATCTTAATGAACTGAGTCGAGATTTTATATCTTTATCCATTACATCCAGCTACATCCAACTACGATTTAATTTGGGAACAGATCCATCATCCACTGTTGTCTTACAATCATATCAACAGATTGATAAAAGTAAGCATTTATGTTCATTCTTGCTAAAATACTCTTTTTGTTTAGTATATTGGAGACGATTTATCATTTGTACTCTGTAAATCTTAAATAATTAATTTCTTTTTTTTTTTTTTACTGTACTCGATTTTCTTTCCTTTGTATTTGTTTAATTTTTATGCATAAATCTAGTGGCAGCCGTAATAAATCTAGGGGTCCTGTAATTGTGAAGCACTAACGGACCCTCAACTCTCAAAAGTAGGAAAAGTATTTCTTCCATCAACAAGACAGCCTAGTACTGGCCAGAGCTATCCCAACTAATCATTTCCATCTGACCTGATCATACACTAGATTTCTCTATTTATTCATACACATGGTTTTTAAATCTTTTTCCACAGAATCAATCCATCTGGTGTTTAGTCTTATCCTTTCTCAGTTGCCAGAAAACACTCCAAAAGTCATATTCTTAACTCGTTCACCATTATCCTTTCTATAGATGTAACTCAACCAGTGGCGTACGCAAGGGAGGGGTTTAGGGGTTTAAACACCCCCCTTGAGCTCAGCTAAAATGGCAAAAATAAAAATTTTAGTTGAAATTATGCGAGCTATTATTTTTTAAGACTACATATTTTTATTAGCCTTATGCCTACTTGTTTTTTTCTCACGGTATTTCTCAGAATACTGAAAAAACATTTACTATAATAGGGTTGTACTTTTGAAACCAAATTCACGTGATACTGTTACGGACTGGTTCCTTTGTCCTGCCAGTATAGTTTTCGAGACTGGCTGTCATTCGCGAGGTTTTTACGCGATGATTCTGGAATCCTAGACGTTCTGTCCTCTTTGAGACAATTCGAGAATTTTGGAAATGCGGTGAAAAATTATATAAAAGGGGGAACGGAGTACAGTGGAGTTAGTCAGTAAGAGTTATCTCTGCCGCTTGTCTTTCGGAGTTAGTCGCTAAATCTGTTTTGTTCTAATGAAAAGTTCATTCAATCGCCGAACCCGTCAACGCCACTATTTCGACTAGTGAAGAAATCAGTAACAATAACCATTGAAGATACTGTGCTCGTTAAAGTTATTCATTCCAGCTCGAAACTATGAGATTGCAGCATAGCGGATATTTCTGTGCCAATATATATATATATATGCTGTTCTTGGATCTTTAGGATGTCAAAACGCAAGAATTTAAAAAATTTTAATTATTTTGAGAAAAAATCACGACCTGAAATTAGTGAGGTGACAGCATCTAGTACCAATATAAGTATTTCTGTTGTACTGAAATGTGATACTTCCGTTGAAGAAAACGTTTCTAGCATAACAAAATCTGATGAATGTTAAAAAGACCCTCAAAGTGTTACTTTCCACCCATATGACATTGGACTTTTTTCAGAAGATATAAACTTAAAAAATCAAATCAAAATTTAACTAAACAATGTTGTCTAAATAAAAAGTTCTAGCTGTCTAAATTAGAGAAATAATATTGCTTTATTACAGATTCGAATTTCTTTTAGTAGTTTCAGAAAATTATGAACACCCTCCTTGAAAAAATTCTGCGTATGCCACTGAACTGAACCATCTAATTCTATGGGATTTAATGACTGAAAATTATTCGCCAAATGTGAAAAAATCATAAATTCAGTGAGACAAATTGTGCATTAACGATTGATATTTTTTTCACCTTAAAAGAAATATATATATTTTCCTTGATTCTGAAAATTATATCAATATGAATATTTTTTATTGGATTACAGTTATTTCCCTAGATATGTTGCATAACTAATAAGGATCATATAAAGTCCAGATAATGTGAGTGACTAGAGGGATTATGAGAAAACCGTAAAGTACAAATTAACATGCTCGTTGCCAGATCACACAATATCGCGTGTCGTAATTCTCTCGTAATTCAGTTTGTATCAATAAAGCAGATTAAGTGCTTGCTAGATGCATATTATCATCCAACTATTTTTCTAGAAAATAAGTATTCTCATGATAATAACTTATTGCTTTTTAAAATAAACTTATTGTAAAATTTGAAAATTAAAACGGTTACTGAAATAAGTAAATTTAAATTTGATTTTATCTTTACAGATTTAGATTATCATTTTTCAATGATAGATAAAGTATAACAACCCCCGCCCAAATTTCGTTAAAAAATCTCTGCGAGCAGTATAGAAACCAATAAAACAAAATAAAGCGGAATCAAATGATTCAAGTAACTTATCTTCTACCGAGATCCTTTTTTTCTAAATGGTTACAATCATGACAGTAAAAAATAAGCAAGAGAGAAAAAATTCTTTTATTAAAAACTAAATAACTTAATGAAATGTTTTATTTAAAATAAAATATATTTATTTAAAAGATAGTTGGAATTTTAAAAAAAATAATCAAATGTTGCTACAAGTTTATTCTTACATTACTGCTATAGTATAAGAAGCTACCAAAAATTTACTCCATCTTATTCTTATTTCTTTTCCTCAAAGATTACAAAACATTTACATTTTTTATTCTCTTTCTCCCATTCATGGCTCCTTCCCATCTGTTAAATGACTTTTGATTTGAATTTGCATTTTTGAAATAATTCAATTTATAGTAAATTTGTATTTTGACTTAAAGTTTTCTGTGGGAAAAAATTAATCATAAAAATTTGTTAAGATTTGCCTTTGGCAAAGACTTTTTAAATTTGACTAAGTCTTTTGATATTTGTCTAATTTACTGACAAGTAATTGGAAGTCCTTAGTGTGGGCCCTACAATCTTATTTCTTTTTTTACTGCTGTTAAGAAAAATATTTACACAGAGTTAAAAAGCAAATTACAATAACAAATTTATTGGTATTTGCTTTTTATTTCAGTTTAAATATTTATGCTTCACAACTGCTAAACAAATTTACCAATTGCTTATTGTAATTGTTTTGAATTACAAAGAAAATATTGTTTCAACTTTTTAAGATTTGAATGGAAAGTAAATGTCTTTTACACTATTAGATATTTGGCAAACTGTTGAATTTGGTAGATACAGAAGGGCTGCTTATTTGAAATTAGAAAAAGATGAAGAAGTTACTTCAATTTCACCCCCTGGTATGGAAATATTGGATGTTAACACTGATTTCTTCATAGGTATGATTGTTTATCTTACAATTTTTATGAGAATAAAAACTCTCTACAAATAATCTATTAATACATTTTTGTAGTTTTTAATTACTGTTGTGCTAAAATATTTTTTTTACCACCTCTACTAGACAGAACTGTATCTCAGAAAAATTTAAAACCTTTTGTATTCTGCAGGATTATTAATTTTCTTACTGAGAATCCCTTCTAGTATCATGAACAATGTAAATTATTGAGATTGTTAAAGTGTAACTTTTTCAATTTTATATTGATTATTGTTTAAAAAGCATACAATACATTTAACTTAATTTTTAAACTTTCAAATATTGTTTGCATCATGCCTAAACCATGAATGTGTCAATTTGCACTGTTGTCTCATTCATGGTTTGGGCATGATGCTGGCAATATCATAAGACAAAATCATAACCTTTACCAATAATGGATCACTCAGGTTAATAAAAAAAATATTAAAGGTTTTACGTACCGTATATTCCGGCGTATAACGCGCACTTTTAATACAAAAAATAACATTGGAATTTACGGGTGCGCGGTATACGCCGAATATAAAAAATTATAGATTAAAAAAATTTAAATTTAGAAAAATACTTTTATTTTAAAGAAATAACATACCTTTACCTATATACTTCATTGATTTTCGTTATTACATAAATAGCTCATTATATTCGTCTTCCGCTATCAATTACAATCATTAAAATTTTTTTGTATTATAATTACAACTTTTTTTGTATTATCTGTAAGGTGGGACCTAAACATGTCCCACTCTAAAAGGCTTTCTGGTTTTCTTACGCAACCAGGACGGATTTGCCAGATGTTTTTTACCCACAATTTAGCACCATTTTTGTCCATCCAGAATCACATTATTGCTCTTTCAATTCTAGCCCTCACATGCATGTCAAATTCAGTTCTTTTATTTTTTCAAAAGATAGGGAAAAATACTTTTTATTTACGATCTTGAAAGATGAGATATTGCACATGTACAATACAAATTTTCGTGCGCGTTATACGAAGAGTATATCTTAAAATTAAAAAAAGTAATTAGAAATTACGGGTGCACGTTATACGCCGGGGCGCGTTATGCGCCGGAATATACGGTATCTCAGAGGAATTAAAAGAACATGTTATATCCCTCTATGCTCTGTATTACTTTATTTTAAACTCTTCTTTAATTAAATGCTAGAGAAATATATATTTTTAATAATATATTGTAATAAATGGTTATTTTTTATGTTGTAGATTTCAAGTATACTGAAATTCGCCTTTTTTTTTTTTTTTTTTAAATTTGATTTGTAGGAGGTGTTCCTGATCTTTCATCATTACCAAAAGAAGCTGTTGAAACTGTGCCTACTTACTTTAAAGGTTGTGTAAGACATCTGTCCATAAATTCGAAAAATGTGGCATTAAATATTAATGGTATGTCAAACTAATTAAAAAGTTGTCAAAATTTGTAATTAATATTCCAGTTTATTCTACTTATATGTACTTTTCACATAAACATGATAAATGTACATTTTTTTTTTTTTTTTTTTGCTTTAACATTGATTTTATTTAAAAAACCTTTTAACCCTATAATGTATCTTACTATTTCAAATGAATTTTAATAATTATTGTTGATTTAACTTTTTTTTTCTAATTCATAGTTTATGTTTATTTTGTTTAAATTTTTTTTTCTGAATTGTTTTAATGATAGGTTGAATTTATTAGATATTTCATATCGTAAAAACTTCATATATCACACCTTAATAGCTTTTAAATTTGAAAAAGTAAATTTTTATAATAATTTATTTTTTCAATTGCAATGAAACTGGGTGTTATTTACCACAGTGATAGTTTTCTAAGCTTTCATTTCTGTTGGAAAATTTTTTTGATGTTTATATGTTTTTTTAATATAGGAACCATTAATGGGAGAAATATTGAAGATTGTGATGGAACATCTTGTGGTTATGATAGTTGCAAAAATAATGGCCTATGTATTCCCAAAGATGACGGATTTTTCTGTCAGTGTTCTGAAGTTAGTATATTTACAATAAAATCTGTTTACATTATATACTCTATTTACAAAACTTAGAGACTAAAGGTTAAACAAAAGTTTTTAAAGCTATACAAAATTTTGCTTATTTCAGTTTTGGGAAATAATTCCTAAATTTTGCATCCGAACTTAGCAATTTAAGCAATTCACAGTCTTTATGCACATTATAAGTATTATAATATGCGTGTATAAAATATTTAATGTATTTTATTTAAACTAAATGGGACAACAGTATAAAGTTCTAATATTTGTTAAAATTTAAAAAAGCGCATATTTTTTATAATACAATTTTCTCACTTGTCTCAGGATAAATTTGTGAACAACTCATTGTTACAAATTTTTTTTTAAATTACGCCCGCCATCGTCTTCTCAGACATAAGGCGTCTTGCAGTCCAATACAATACTGAAGTAGCTCCAGAAGGTGAGAGGGCACAAAAGTCATCACAGGAACGAATGTCAAAAAGACTGGGGCAATCAAATAGATGCTCCCCAGTCATAGGCGAAGTGTTACAGAGCACACAAAGAGGTGAATTGACTAGGTTAATTTTAAATAGACGGGCCTGCTAGTAGTCATGTCCAGTAATTATTCTAAGGCAAGCAACTCCCTCGACTCTGGGAAGGAGGATTGTTACAATATGAAGGAATTTAAAATTGCTTGGCTTTTTGATAAATTAAGAACTTAAACATTGTTTAAATATGCAACTAGTAATTCTGGATATAATTGTTAGGACATCTCTTGTAAACTTAGTATCATTTGAAAATATAGTTAAGATCAAAATTATATTTGTAGCTTAACATTGTCTTGGGTAACAAAACAGATACAAATTTATGATGGTTTTTTACATCTAAATAATATGACGTAGCTTTAGAGTGTTGCTTAACTTTCTTTGTTTAGAAGATTTTTATCTTTCTTGTAATTATTTTGATGTTTTAACATATTATAGATGATGTTCTGTTTATTTGTTAAAATTATTTTTTCGCTTTAAAACAAACACTCACCAAACTGTTATTCACACTGTTCTTAATTTTTTTAAATTGAAAAACAATTCTCTAAGATAAGATTTTTATATAATAGTTTTATATTTATGATTTTTATTTTATTTTAGACTTTTTTAATGTACCCTTACCTAAAGCACTTCAGTGGAAAAAATAGTCTTAAAATTAAAGAATTTATTAATAAGCTTTTCTTGTTGAAGATTTTCTTCATTATTTGTGCCATAATTCACCAATCCCATTCAAGGATTATTGAAAACTCATAGCGAGACAGCACAAAATTTTTGTTATTTAGGTTCATTTAAAAAGATGTAGCAATTTAATGGTCATTTAATTTTAAAGGAATGACTTTAGTTATAATTATTTTCACAAACATGTCATTCTTTATCCATTTCTAGCTTTTTATCTGCTTTTTCTGCTGTAAGTTGTTTTCTTATAATGGAATTCTTAAGAATTATTCTTTTGATAATCCTTTTATTACTTTTCTATTTAAAATGAAAGAAATGTAGGGTAAACCAACCAGTGAAGGAACATTTCATATATATTGATTAAAAATAAGAATTTGAAAGTTTTTCTTTAGATTGATTGGTAACAATAGCTTACTGTCAAACAATAGGAAGTCATCTAGCAATGTTTTGGATTACCTGGTCAAATAGACTTCTCTGGAAAAAATTTTGAATTTGTTATTATCTCTGCAACACCTTGTTTCTTTGAAAATATTATAAGGTGAGTGTTTGTATTTATATGTTTGAAGTGGAATTAATTGCATGTAATAGTTTTATTTTTCTAGCTGTGAAAAAGAGAATTCAAAATATAGTTATTGAAGTTACATTTTATTTTTTTTAAGCATCATAGCATAATAAAGTACTGAGATAAGGGGGTGTTTATTCACTGGATCATCAAACGATAAAAAACCAGTGAAGGCACAAGTGTTCCTTTACTGATTTTTTTTCTAAGTTAATGAAAATAAAAGATAAACTTTAATTTTCTTGTACCTTTAGTGATGTTCCGCATCAAAAGTATGTTAAAAATACGAAAAATAACTTCTAACCAGTGAGGGAACAGGCATGTTCCTTTACTGGGCATAGATTTCCCAGTGAATGAACAGTATGTGTTAATATGTTGACACTTAAATTTTCAATTCATGATTACAAAAAAAATTTAACATTTTCCAAGTATTTATATGTTATAATTTCAAGAATAGGCTTGTTTTTAAATACTTGTATGATTTATAAATTCATAAAAAGCATAAAAAATAACCAAAATTAAGTGTTCCTTTACTGGGTGTTCATTCACTGGTAAGAGCTGTTCCTTCACTTGGTCTTCTTACTACTTGTTATTTGAACATCCAAAACTTTAAAACAATATTATGTAAGCTCTACAATTTTTTTACATAATTTGCAATTAGTAACAAATATGTTGACAATGTCATTTAACTAAAATTACTGATTTTGAAATTAATATGATTTTTTAAAAGGCAAGCGAAGCTTAAGTGTTCCTTCACTGGTTAGTTTACCCAATACATATATTTTTGTAACATTTTTATACTTTCCAGTCTTATCGCGGTCAAATGTGTGAGGTTCATGCCCAATGTTGGCACCACAACTGTATTCATGGATCATCATGTATTCCAAATGCAGATGGTGGTCATCAGTGTTTATGTGCCATTGGTTGGCAAGGAGATCAATGTGAAAGAGGTAATCATTATAAAATAACTAAATATCTTCAAATAAGAAAGAAGTGTTAACATTATTCAGATTTTTTTATCCATATTTCAGCTTAATTATGGGTATATAATTATTTGTTTTTATTTAATTGATTTTTCATAATTATTTTCTCCTTTAATTATTAATATTTTGTATTTTCTTTTTCATAAATCTTCAGTTTGTGCTTTATTTATCATTGCTCATTGCATGAATACAATAAGTTTCAAATTTAAAATTGTTTGATTAGAAGAATTAATTATTGTAAACTTGTGATTAAAAATTATTATGAGTCGCGTGTTAATAATAATTTTCTGTTTTTTCCGATATGGACGTTTAAGAGATTTTTTTGTTAAATATCTATTTGTATCCTTATGCAACCCGTGTTTGCAGAAAAATAAAATTAAAGATTATTAGTTTAAGTACGTAATTATTAAATATATGCCTTGAGATAATTTTATATTTTCTTTTCAGGAGTTAACGTCTCGAGTGCATATTTTATGGGTGCAAGTTATTTATTGTACCAAGACATCTCATACAGACATTTGGATTTAACTAAAACATCCATTTCATTTGCCTTTTCTTCAAAAGAAAAATCTGGTTTATTATTATGGAATGGAAAGGTATGAACAATTCAATTTATATATTTTTTTTTTTTTGTGTGAATAAGGCAGACATTTTTTATTTCGTGAATAAACCAGCAGATTCAAATGAATAGAGATACAATGTCTTTAAAGTTTAAAGCTTACCATTTGATAAGGATAGACTTTTTTTCATCCTAATTATAAGAAAGTTAATACTGAATATTATGTTCTTAAAGAAATATTTACTCGATTTTTATTCTGATTAAATTTACATTTTTACATTCGGTTTATATTGTCACTTTTCCTCCCTAAATTCAAATATTAATACCTAAATTATGGGGTGCAAGGAAACATCTTATATTCAGCGCAGAATTCGGAAAATATCCAACACTCTAGAACAGGAGTGGCGAACCTTTATACACCAACGTGCCAATTTTTCTAAAAAATTGTTCAATGAGGTCATAGACATGCCGTCAAATAATTTTGACTTCGTGATTATTTGGAAAATAATAATACTAAATACTATCAACTCAAAACTCTTTATTTACATTGAACGAAAAATACATTTTGCCATGTCTTAAAACAACTTAAAGTAACATCAGTGTGAATTCTGTTGTTGCAGATTAGATGACAAATAACTTATATTAAGTTGTAGGATGTTAGTTTAAGCAGGACAGTTATTTTTTTTTTTTTGCTAGTTATATATTTTTAGCTTGTTTTTTATGGTTATTAATTGTTTTTTTAGCATTAATTGTTAATTTTTTTATTAATGATTGTTTATTATTTTGTTTGTTTTTGTGAATTTTATTTTAATTGTTACATATGCTTCATAGTGTAATAACAATTCATAGTGTAATAACAATTGTGATCGATGGAGTGCCCAAAATATTGTGCCATTGGTTCGCCATTCCTGCTCTAGAAGTATATATAAAGTGTATAAATTTAAAGTACATGCACTGAGGATAGAGGACTGTCGTTAGAGAAGCCTGTCATTTGTAGCAGCCAGTGTTCAATCTTAGACTCTGCTAAGACCTATCAAGTTCATGCCATATAAGTGCTTGTAAAATCTGTCAATTCAAAAGTCCTGTGGTCATTTTCTGAGCAGTACCATGGATACAGGAATCTGAAGAAAAATTTCTTTCCCTTCAGATCTGTGTCTAAATTGAGGTATTGCCCTCACAAACTTATGATGGCATGTCTTCGGATCATCCTCAGGTATGTTTCCCAGAACGTATAAAATAGCTTTTTGTGCAACTCCACTATGATGTAAATAAAGTACTTACGTACCATACATGTACATAAATAAAACAAATTTTTAATTTATGAAATGATGTCAAATATTATTTTGCTTTATCACTGTTTATGCACAGTACAAAGGGAAAAAAAATCTTTCATTTGTCATAAAATGATTTTTTAAAATATATTTTTTAAATTGATATCTTAATTGCATCTTCACTGAACTTTTCATGTTTGATAATTGCCATTTGTTATCAATTGTTCATCCCATTTTAATTTTGCAGATTTATTCTGAAGATGGGGATTATCTGGGTATTGGTTTAAGTAATAATCATTTACATCTTGTTTGGAACATAGGATGGTTATCTCGAAGTGAAATTATGACTGACAGAATTCCATCTGAAACAGGATCTTGGCATCATGTGAGCATTGAAAGGTAAGTTACATCTCTTTTTATTTAAGTACCATTGTTTTATAATTAAACTTCTAGTAAACTTTTTTTTTAAATTGTTGTTAAAATATTTATTTATTTCTACTCAACAATTAATGTATTTTTATATCTACATAATCGGCTTTAATTTAAATGTATTATGTGTATAATGATATTGTACTACAACATTTATTTTTATTGTGCACTTTATTTATTATAAATAAAATAAGAAATATTTCTGTAAAATATAAATCCCAAATTTGTACTCTTCAATGGAAATAATTAATTTTTTTTTATCTATTGCATTTATTTTTAGGGATAATAAAATTTTAAAGCTCTTTATTGACGGAGAAAAATATACAAGTGTGGTCTCTGGTGATTTTTATGAACTGAACACTGATGGCGTGTATTATTTTGGTAAAATATTCATTATTTTCACTCTTGAGTGCAAATGCTTTGAACCATTGTTTTACAAATTCTTCAATTTTTTATGTATATAGGTATATTTATTTTGTGATTGCTGAAGACTTTTTTTAAAAGAAAATCAGAGCATAATTTTTGGAACTCAGAATGAATCTTGAAAATAATATCCATTTCTGTTAGTTTCTTTCATTATTAAATCAAAAGTATTATCAATAAAAATATCTCGAATTGAACACTAAAATTTTTATGTTGCAACATTCTAAACTGTGTTCAGTTACTTTGAATCATAATGATGAACATTTTTATACCACTTCATGCCATGCAGGGTATTTTTGTTACATTTTTCTATGTATTTTGTGTGTTTTTACTGCTTTGTTAAAGGATTTTTTAATCTGATTCATCATTTTCAGAGTTGCTTCCATTGAAATCTCCCTAAGCTGTCCCATGTTTGCTTTCACCAATGCGTAATGTTATGTAATTTCTTAAGATTGTTCAATTTGATTATATTTTTACCAACCCCTAAACCTCTTGCCACTCTCCATTTTTTATATCTTGATTATTTAATAAATTGCTTATTCAAAAAGTCATGATATTTTCCCATTATTTACGAGATTTTTCTTACTTTTGTCATGATTATTTTAAACTGAATGCATTGGATCCGGGAATAGAAGGTTTCCATCGCAATAAGGTGCCCCCAGTCCGGCTCGCACTGACCACAGTGCTGAGGTAAAATGCCCTGACTTGTAGAGGAATTATTTGTTAGAATCCCCTTACAGTCAGGCTAACTGTCGGAGGTTCTTGTGGTTTCCTTTCCGTGTAGCACAAATACGGGCTAGTTCCCTCAAAAAATCTTCTATGAAGGCTAGTTTCTCCCAATGCTTGATCTAAGAGTTCTCTTGTCTTCTGGGTTGGGTTCAAAATTACAAAGCTATAGAGCTGGACATTTATTATCTTAAACTCGGAGTTGGGTCGATTGTTCAACACCGGTTATAAAATATGAAATAAATTAAAAACTGAATGATGCTGCCCATGTTTTCCTTTTTTTAATCGTCATTACGAGATATGAGTTAACTGCAAAGTGATTTGTCTGTGAGAAAGACCAAGCTGGTTGCAAATCAAAATCAGTTCTTTATCAAACTCAAAACTCAATTGTTTTACAATTCTTGCTTTAATGTATATTTATATTCTATTGTGATTAGTATTTGATATAATCATATACAGTAGAACCCGTTTAAGAAGTTTTTCAAGGGAGTGGAAAGAAACGACTTATTAAACGGTGAAACTTAAAAACACATTAATAAAAAACTAAAAAATTTGAAATTGTGTAACTTATATTAAATTCTCAGCCAATGAAATAAATATTGAATTTTAATATTCATTTAGAAAAAAATTGCTAATAAATAAAAACAAAGTAACCTACTTTATTTTTTGTTTCATACAATGTAATATACGTTGTTACAATAATTGACTAGATTTCTGTGAGAAAAAATCGTGTAAAGTGGTTTGTTTTTGTCTTTTCTCACCTACCTTTAAGTGAAAATTGTCCAACTGCTGTAAAAATTTAAACATTTCCGGGGGTACATTTTCAACAGTGTAAATAAATTTCCTAAAAGTATCCAGCCCTTTCCTGGCATCAGAAAAGCTAGGTGGTTTAGCAATATCTTCTTCAGTTTCACTGAATTCTTCTGTATCATTTGTAACATCACAAATATCCTCTAATGTCAGCATATCACAAGGTAAAATTTCGTCGTCAACGGATACATATTCTTCAAACGATGCTGTGAAATTAAGTTTATTTTTGAATGACTTCCAATCATTAACAAAATTTACGTTTGTTTCTTCGTCTTCATCTGATATTTCATATTCAGCTTCTAAGAGATATTCTTCAGTTGTATCTCCGTCAGAGAATCCAGCTTTCCGAAAACAGTTAGCAATGGCAGATGGTGTTATTAATTCCCATGCTGATACAATTAACTCAATCGCTTCTAACATATTGACTTTTTTTAGCTCTCCAGTATTTTCAAGTCCTTCCAGCATCCGTTTCACAAGTCGCATTTTATAATGCTGCTTAAATACCTTAATAACTCCCTGATCCATTGGTTGTAGAACAGAAGTAGAATTTGGTGGTAAGAACTGCAACTTGATGTTAGTGTACTTATTCTCCTTGGAATGAGCAGCGCAGTTGTCTACGAAGATTATGATGTTTCGTTTTTCTTTTCGCATCTTACTGTCTAATTTTTTCAAATACGTTTCAAAAATTTTAATTGTCATCCAGGATTTTTGATTACTGTCATAATCACAAGGCAGTGACTTAACATTTCGAAAGCATCTTGGTTTTTTCGATTTACCGATAACTAAAATCGGTAATTTTTCTATACCATTCATACTGGCCCCAACTAAAATTGTCAAACGTTCTTTACTGTTTTTTCCGCCATGACAGGGTTCACCTTTAAAGGCAAAAGTTTTATCTGGTAAAAGATTGAAAAACAGTCCACATTCATCCATGTTAAAAATGTTCTTTGGTTGATACCCTGAAATAATTTCAGGTAATTTAGCTTTCCATTCTTCAGCTTCTTGTAAATCAACGCTGTTACAATCTCCTTTAATTGTTTTATAAACTAGACCAGCTCTTTTTTTCATCCGATCAATCCATCCATTGGAAGGCGTAAAATCAACATTCAATTTCTCCGCAATCTCTAATGCTTTTCCTCTAAGAAGAGTTCCGTTGACAGGTATGTTGGCGGATCTTGCTTGTTTAAACCATATCATCAGTTTCTCTTCAATATTTTCGTATTTTCCTTTCTTCACTTTTTTTACTTTCTGGGATGCACCGGAACAAGAAGAGTTTAAGATGATGTCTTTCTTAGCAATAATGCCATTTAACGTAGTAACAGGAAGATCTAAATTTTTTGCTATTTGAACTCGTGTTAATTGAGGATAGCTGTCAACAGCTTTTAAAATTTTTACTTTGTCATCAATAGATAGAGCTTTACGCTTAATGCCTTTACAGGACATTTTCCACAAAAATCAAACTTTTTACGATGATTTTTAAGATAACATAAGCGCCTACACTAAGAAAATTTTCAACGAAATGCTGCTAAATGTTTAGATGTATCTTTCTCTTCAGTTATTGAATGGGTGTGGACAGCAGTGAAGTTCGTGAGTCACCAGGCTATTCATTTAAGGTGGACACAATGACAAAGCTATTCCCTACATTCTTATCAGTTTCATAGTTCATCTAAAGGTTCACATTCCTTTGCTCACACCTGTTCCTGATAAGTCACCTTTCTTTGTAACAAAGGAGTGATGAAGGTCAGTGGTCAGTACCCATACATGTGTTTGTAAGGGCAAGTTAAAACTAAATAAGACATTTTAAATAAAATTTTAAAAAATTGAAATTAGGAGTGGAAACTTCTTAAACGGGAAAAAAACTTCTTATAAAAGTAAATTTAACATTATGGTAATTGGTTTTTTTAAAAAATAACTTCTTACGCGGGAAAACTTCTTAAAAGGGAACTTTTTAAGCGGGTTCCACTGTATATTGACTCACAAATATTTTAGTGGATTTCTGAAGTCTCATCAAAACAAAATTACTTAATTACTTGTTGTTTTGTTAAATATTTCATTTCACGAGTATTTAATATTTTTCATATGTGTTTCATGTATTTTAGGTGGTTTTCCCTATGGATTAGATATAGAGGAAGAGACTTTAGGGTACTTCAGTGATTCCTTTGTCGGGTGCATCAAAGATTTGTCTATATCTGGGAGAAATATCAACATAATGGACCTAAAAGAGGGAAAAAACCTTGAGCCTTGTTCTATTAGCTAATAAACATATTAGGTTTTTAATGATTTAAAAAAGTGTATTGATCCAGCATTAAAAATCAAAATTTTAAAAAATCTAAATGAGATTTATTTTATCATCCTTAAGAAACTGATAATTTTTATGCATTCTCTAAAAAATATGTCACTATCAATATCAGTTAGTATTTCAAATGTCATAGGATAGATTTATGTAATTTCTGTTTTAGGTTACTTGTCCTTGTTAGAAAAAAATATTTAAAAATGTCTTTTTTTCAAAAGAAAAAAAATCAGTTTTCACCACAATTAAAATAATAAATCTCACTCATAATAATCAAACCATACTGTGCCTAAGTGTTTTGTGCTATCGGATTTTTAACTATTTAAAACTATTCCGTCCATTTTGCATATGTGTGTTCTATGCTTTAACCAATTTATATAACCTTTTAAACAATATTTATCATTAAAATATATTAATACTTATTCAGAATTTCTTAGAAAATAATTTTTTAAACCAATATTGTTTTACTCTTCTGCTGCCAACATTCAATCAAAATATTTGGAAAATTAAGTCCATTCACATAACATTATTCTTTATAAATCAATGAATTTTATTCTTTTTGATATTCTTGTTTGTAACCTTATCTAATTTTTTTTCATACATAGTATTGGAAACAATACTTTGAATCTTAAGAAATCTTTAAACATAATACAATTTTGTATGCTGATGTTAAGAATGGTTATATTTATTACAGTAGTTTACGCTTGTGTTGTTATTTTTTATAAAGCATTTTATATTGTGAACAATTTAAAATATATCAATGCTAGCTACTGACTTTGGCAATACTTCTCTGAGTACTATACACTCATGTATTGAATTAGTTTTAAGATTTAATTACTGCCAGAAGCCAACTGTTTTCTGGCAGCATTTTTCTCATATACCGAAAAATGCCTTTCAAATGTATGATTTATATTCATTTCTTAGATCAGCGGTACCCAATTATTTTGGCTAAATAATCAACCTTCTCTTGGCAGAACCCCCCAACTTTATAAATAAAGTTTAAGGTAATTGTGAACGTTATAACCTATAAAAGACTATATTTAAAACTTTCAATTAAAAGAATGAAGATTTTTCATCGTTTTATAGTTAATAATCTTAAATTAGGTTTTATGTCCAACAATTAAATTTACAGTTTTTGTGTTATATCTAGTTTAGTTATGAATTTGCATCTGGTGTATATACATAAGTTGAAAATGATTAAAATAAATTGAATTATTGTTTATTTCGATATGATAACTTAAAAGAACTGCTATAAATATTTAAAAATGGTCATTATGGAAACGTATTTTTTTAAAAAAGAATTCAGTTATTTTGATTTGAAAAGAGCTATGGGAAATTCTAATAGAATATTTTATAAATGCTTATTTTTTTCATAATTTGTTCAATGTATTGTTGTTAGAAATATTATATTTTCTTTCAAAAAATACCATTTCTATTTCATTGGCATTTTACTTGAAATAATTTCATCAAGGCTATCATAAGGTTAAATAAATTGTTAATTATAAACGGGATCATATAATCATTATTTCATAACTCATCTCCACTGAACACCATTTGGGTACCGCTGCCTTAAATAATCTTTCATTCAAACATGTGTAAAAATAATTCAAGTTTGCATTTTGCAGAAAATGAGACCCTTAAATCTGTCCCGCATTATAGGATTAGACCTTTCTAACTCCTAACTCGCGGAACCCCTTTAACCCTTCCATGGAGCTCTAGAGTGCCACGGAACACCATTTCGGTACCGCTTCCTTAGATTATCTTTCATTCAAACATTTGTAATAAAATAATTAAAGTTTGCATTTTGCATAAAATGGGAGTCACCATTATAGGATTGGACCTTTCTAGCATCTAATAGTGAAGGCCATTTCTTGGTTCAAACAATATTTACACTTTAATTTTTAGAAATTGTTAGTGTGAGTTTCTGCTAAATGTGTACAGTTAAAGAAAGATGCTAATTTTTGGACTGGTAGGAAGGAGAAAAAGATTTTTACTTTGCTATTTTAACGTTAGTTTGTAAAATCTATATGTCTTATTTGATAATAAAAAAAAATACTCACTATTTCTAATAGCTCTTTATAGTCTTTTTGACATAATTTACAGCTGTACTTTACTCTGGCAAAACATAAAGAGTACATCAGTTTAATTTTTGAAATATAAATTTTTTTAATAATGTCTAATAACAATATAATATTTTTATTCAATAGAAAACAAGTTGTTCTTGCAATTTCTTCAAATATGACAAAATTTTCAGAAAGTCGCAATTGAAAAATGTTCAGAAAATATAATTAATTATCAAGATTCTCACATTAGTAATACTTTAGCAAGTAATCGAAATCTATTTATTCTATCTTTGTTCTCATCTTGGAAGTACAATTGATTCAAAAGTTCTGATTGAATCAATTATACTTAAAAATTTAGGATCTCCATGATTGAGCAATTATCTATAGATAAAAACTAGCATACATATATTTAGGGTACATATTTGTGCATTTATATCAATAGTTTTTTTTTTTTCTTGTGTTTAAGTACTTTTGTATTTGTGAAATAAATTATTTCATTATTGTTTGAGACTTTGTTTTCCTTTTTAATAATTTTGTCATTTTATTCACAACTGACTGGAAAATTGAAACATATTTTTTGTGACATATTTAAATGATTGGAAAAAAATTTAACTTTTAATGCTCAAATCCAGTTGTAGAGATTTATGGCGAAAATCAATTGCACAAAAATAATTTGACTGAAAAAGTATGTTCATTAAATTTTTGTAGATGTTTTGAATTTCATATGATGCGGGAAAAAATTGTAAGACTGTTGTTTTTAATGTTGAAACAAAATAAAAATTACATTCTCATTTTCTGATGAAGCTTTAAATAATATTTAAAAGTAGCTTTCATGTTCTGAATTACTTGTAAAAATAAGCAATTTTGGTGTTATTGCAAAACATTTTTTTTTTTTTTAAGTTTTCAATTCTAAACATTTGTGCTAGACTGACCACAGTTGTTGAGTTGTATATTATGTACCAACACACACTTTGGGTTATAAGTTGTTGTTTGCCAATATTTTTGTAAAATTTTGGGGAGCTAAATTTTTTAATGTATCATACGAGGTTGTGGTTTTTCTGCATTTTAAAAGACAGATAACAATCGCCTTAAGTTTACTGTATAAGAAAAATTATATAACAATCGCCTTAAGTTATACTTTATAATTACTGGAAAACTTAAAAAATACCATTTCTTTCCTTACTATCTTCATAAATTTGACCAAAATTTTCAAACAACGTCTATTATCTTATTTGAAGAAAACAGATACAATTTTAAAAAGTTAAGCTCTTATTTTATTGTTTTCAAACTCTTATATAGAATAATAAAACAATTGTGAAGAAAAAAAATTCTTTGGATGAAAAAGTTTTTCCTAGATTTTTAATCAACCTATCAATCAACTTTTACTTCATCCGCGTTATAAGGAGCATAAATTTACTATGATAATCCCAACTACTTCTTTTGAACTGTAAGTGTGGTTTCACTGCATGGAAGGTAAGTATGCAGAGAAACCGGTTTTACAGAGAACTCAATGTTCTACTTAAAATATTTTTTTTCATTTCTCAACAGCCAGTACTAAATCGCTCCGAATTTTATCGTTTAGCTGAACTTTCAATTTCGAAACTAAGCTTTAAGAAAATGAACTGTGTCAGTTAAAAAAGTATTTGTCGTAAAACTTAGCAAAATGTTCTTTTTCTTGGCTTTCTTTCTTTCCTTTTTTTATTTATTTTTTTAGCAACGAATATATCTCATCATCAAAAGTAATGCGCCATTTATTCACTAAATTTAATTTAAATATTCTAAAACGATTTTATTCGTATTTAATATAATATATTCTTGAAAAATGCTCAGGACTAATTAGAATAGAGCAATGCTCTTTATAACAAAGACGCTTAATTTAATTGAAACTTTCATTGTAAATTTTAAAATATCCAGTTGAATTATCATAATTTAATTTTAAAATATTATTGAAAAAGAAATTATCAAAGCTTTACACTCAAACGCTTGAAATGTATTTATTACAAAGATATTGAAAATCTTCGTTCGATTTTGTAACATTTACGTTAGTTAACCAAAGAAGTCGTTTGTTAAATAATAATTCAATATTTCTTTTGCACCTTTGCCCCCACTTCTTTTAAAAATAAAACTTTTTAGACTCAGTACTACCAAACAACGTCACAAATCAGCCCCAAAAAACATTTCTTATAGGTTGTCTTAAAACTTTTGTTTATTTTTTTAACTGATGGATTTCCGCTACGTTTGCAACATCAAAAATAAGTAAAATTCGCCTCGGGGTTTTTTACTTCCCGAATATTTTGTTCAACCCTTCCGCTACTACGCATCGCGACATCATAAGACACAATAATTTTTTCCGTCTCCTAACTTAAGAAAATTGCCACTTATTCACTTATGACAAGGCGTAAATGATTGGGTCCCAACTGATAGGATTACACAGTCACCAAGAAAGAAAATAAGATGATTCTTTGAAGAAGAAAAAAAAATTTGTGAAAGGATGATGACGTCACAGGTGTGGCGAACTGACGATTCCTACTCACGATTAAACCAATAAGAAAGTTAGTAAGTGCGCTGTGACGTATCTTCGTAGTAAGGATCACGTCACTTCCATCTCCATACAAGGAACTGCGAAGAAATGCTAGCCAAGCGGGCGTTGGCCCAAAAGTTCAGGTATTTTCTTTTCAGCAGACAGTCTCTCTGCTCATGAACTATAAAAGATTCGTTCCGCTTCAACACTTAAAAGAGATTTTTGGAACGGATTAGATCTAGAAGGAAAAATATCTATCGACCGGTCTAAGGTTTTTTCCTCAGCAGTAATGAAATTAACGCAGCGTGATTACTCGTGAAACGAAGTATAAAAAAAAAATCAGCACCTTCATATTAATCAAATATTGGAGTAATGAGCGGATAAAAAAATTTTATATTGCGTTTAAAAAAATTTTTTAATTGCACTTTGTAAGCAAATTAGATTTAGCTTACTCAAAATTATGATCAAAAGATAACATTTCGATTAATGAAATTTAACTTTGACCTCGTTATGGGAATAATTCAGTTCAAAATATAAATATAGTTTTTTTTTTTTTTTTTCAATTAGAGACTTAGAAAGTCGTATGTCAAGAATCAAGAGAGAGAGAACGTGATAAAAAGCGATAGGCAGAATTTCATTCAACAACCTGATCCACTGCTTCCTTCCTATCTTTTATATAATTGCTATAAAATTTGATATACGTGACTTGACTCGGCTTATCAAACATTATATCGACTTCAGAGTGTCTGACTGAGTAACTAAAAATTGCAGCAAAAAGAGGTTTACTTAAAATTCCATTGCGTGCATGTACATGGGGAAAAAATCATCAAAAATAGCATGTTGTGTTAATCACAAATTCGACTTTTTCTGATCATTATTTACATACGCTCAATGAGCATTATTTCAAGATGTACCTGAGTCAGATTTCCTAAAATTTGGAAATCATGATGAAAACTCCCATAGAAGTTACTGTTTCTACGAAACTTAATTTTTAAATAAACTCGTACGTATCAATGATTATATGTGAAACATTCGCTATATTTATATAAAAAGCGATAGTTTTTAACTTATTTACTTAGAATTAACATCACTTAATACTTTATCTGAAAGAAAAAATTACAGATTTTTTGGTTCCATTGTGAAATTTGATAATGAATGAAGAAAATGAGATTATTCCAACCAGTTAAGCTTTCCTTTGTTTTTATTATTATTAATAATAAATTATGTTTGGAAATTTTACATATTTACAGCACAGGAACTTAAAAAGATGACTGACATCTATGAAATCAATAATTTAGTGTTTTAAAATTATAAATTTAGTCCAATTTCGCTAGTAATATAAGTTTTGAAAGCCCCACGGGAAGTAAATTTTTTTAAAGGTATGCGGATTCTATGAGCCCGAGAAACCTTTTCGTCTTTTTTTTTTATATATATATTTGCTTCATATTTAGTTTATTACACTCTTTATTTGATTACTTTGAGTAAGTGATGCAAAAAGCCACTTCCGGTTTTTTGCGTCACATCCACGTCCCTTTACCTTTATATTCAATTTTCAAAAGAGCCAGTTTTTAAAAAAATTTATGACCAAAAAATAGGAATAATTTTCTTTTTAAATTTATCCCTGATATTTATCACATTCTAAAATACTTTTTTTCTTTTAATCTTCTATCTGATTGTTTTATTTAAAAAAAAAGAGAGAGAAAAAGATTTACGAGTTATTAAAGACTCACTGAATTACTAAAGTTTTTTGATTTTATACAGTTACTAAAATCCTGACATAAAAGTTATAAAATATTGTACGATCTTAAAGAATTAAAAATATTCACCTAGCGACAATCGTATTTTTATTTACATAAATAATAAAATGCTTCATGTTCGTTCGAGTGAAACGATGTTTAAAAATAAAAACACTTTTATAGCTTCCAGTGAAAAGCAATTTATCTTTTCGTCAAGCGATAAAAATAAATAATAAGCAGACAATTTTTTTACGTTGAATAATTTAGCGCCTTCTCATCGAATTCCAAAAACTTTCCAACTGATTGATCAGAAATTTTAAAAGAGAATATGGAATAGATCATTTACATCGACCCAATAAAACTAAAAATGAGACAGATCCTCAGACAGTATGAGAAATCCGCACGATGCCATGGTCAAAAAGAAAATCGTTTGGTTAAAAGTGAGGGAACAAAAGACAATTATTGCGTAGCAATGGCGCATTCCCGCCGCTGAGTCATCGTTCCACTCATTGATCGCAATGAGAAAAAAGGTGAACTCACAGAGCCGTACATCAGTCATGAGGGAGGGGGAGGTCGTACGCATGCGATGTTTCAGCTGCAATGGGGCGTGTAATGCACCTTGCTATGTGATGAGTCCCACGTGAAGCCATATTGAACATGTGGAATAAATGTGATTGGAATTGACTGTGGGTTATCTTATTGTCTCCTAATCTCATTTCAGAGGAAACAATTCAATTTTCTGAACTAGAAAATATTTCAGGAATTAAGTTCTAAACAATCAATTCTAACGTTCAATGCAATGTTATTATTTACTAAGGATGTTTTTCGAAATTCAAAATTTCAACTAAAAAATTGTCACAGTGATTACATAATTACCGAAAAAAATTTTTAATCAAATTGAAAAATATGTTGTTCTTTTTTAAATATTCCTAAAGTTTCATTTAAAGAAAATATTTTTTCAAAAGTTTAATTTCAAGCGTAAAAAAAGTCAAGGTCAAGAAGCGTAATTTTTAAATTTCTTTTTGTAAAGCATAAATATAAAACAAATTTTAGTTTTCAAGTTCAAAAATGTAAAATTTAGTACATAAAGTTGCATTTAAAAAAAAAATTATCTATGAAATGTAACAATTAAGTTTCTCGGATCTACATGAAAACCTTAATCTGTATAACAACTTACTTAACGCTAGATTGCTCAAGGAAGTCATTTTGACTGCTTTTTAATTTCTATTAGAAAAACAATGGTGTATA